GCGAGACCGAAGGACCTGAGTTCGAATCCCGCGAGCAGGATCGTGGATGAGCACTGCTGAGGAGTCCCACAATAGGATGAAACAGCCGTTCAGTGCTTCCAGGTTTTAAATCATGGTGTACCATCGATCGGGATTTCCTTCTATCATTTTGACATTTTTACACAAAATTCCCATTTGTCAATATCGTTCTCTTGGTTGCTTCGTTATGTCAAATAAACTTCCAATTATCAGCGAGACTATAATTTATTGCGACTTTAGGCGACACCAAAAGTGTACTTAAGAAAATTCACCTACTTCCTAGGGTCAGAAGAGAATTATAGATTAGTGTTGGGAATGAGGATTTGGATTGAGGATTAGAAGTTAGGGTTAGAAATTAGACTTAGGGTTTTCATCATGAACTGAGATGAACTTTAATGCCAAAACTCTATGTAGCCAAATGGATGAATGAACTAAGCGCCAAACTCCAACATTGGCTGCCTTTAATTTTCTAGGTTCATCCATAAATTATTATCTATCTCAAAGATCTAACGATTATATGCTGTTACGTTTTGGCTGTTATTTTTAATACGATAATTTCAATATTGATTACAATTTAGAAGATAATAGTGGTTGTTATTATCTTTTGTTGTTTTGAGCTTATGCGTGCAACTTTTAGGATTTCATTACATAAGTAAATTTAAACATATATATATGTATATAGGGATTGTAGCCTAGTCGTGTTACTTAGTTGTCTATGTACCATATTTCTATCTAAGTTTGAATACAGAGATATGTATTAACTTAGTAAGCTGTCTGTAGTTTAGCCGCCTATGACAACCGACCTATTGAAGCCTAACAACAGAATCTTGTGCACTTTTCAAATGATATATGGCTTGTAGTTCTTTTTTTTGATGTTTTTTCATTATTTAACAAAGTATTTAACTAAACTTATTTTTAGGCTAAGTGATAAGCTTTGGTACATTAAACACATTTGTATGACTAATATAAAGCGGCATAAAAATAAATTCACTGGAAGAAACAATACACTTGACACTAAACGATGACTCATCTATTCAACCAAATGACATAAGAATTACATTTTTACCATAAATATCGCATTATCAATACATTAACATAAGATTAGCATTACATGGATAAAATTTCACATTCAAGTCTACACTTCTATGTATTTGTTATCAGTTAAAAATAACTTGGAACTGTACCTGCATTTTGTATGCTCCAAGCTTACTGAAATCTGATTAGGATTCGTTTGATCTACAACTTGGACACAATTTTCCTCTTACCTTAATATTTGTTAATAGTTTAGCCAGATGCAGTTATCAGTAGCTTTATTGTGCATACATAAAAAACGACTAAATCGGTTATAAAAAAACAATGTGGTGTAGATATAGTTTCACTGTGTTTCTGTATTATCAATGGTCTTATCCATATTCGGATGATCAGGTTTCATACATTAGAAAACATATAAGTTATTGGTGAGTTTTTACAGAATTAATTTAGGTAGATTTTTTAAAATTTTTACCGCTGTTTCCTTTGTTATTGAAGTTAAACAAAGGAAAGGGAAAAATATCAAGTAGAAGCATCTGTTCACAATATTCACTGGCTAGTATTAAAATGAATAATGTTTTCTTTCTTTTAACTCTAACGCTAAATTTTAAGGGTATAACCATAAATATAAAAACATGATAGAGGTTGATTGAATTGTTATCACAATATGTGCTCGATTTGTCTAGATGTGCACTTTTTTCGCCTAAGTAATATGAAGATGTAATATGGCTTACTTTTAATTAAAGTTTGTTTTAATGATGTTTCCTAAATGAATGATGGAAGCGTCACAATAAAACAACCAAACCCAGAAAATACAACTTCGCTAAAATTATCCATCGAAGTTACGAATCTTCTCTACCATTTCAATAAGTAAACTTGAATATCACAAAGATATTTACCTTCTGTTGTCTTTTGATACTTGAAATTTTGCAAAGTGGACAGAAATATTTTGAACTGTTGTAACAACTTATATTTACTGATGAAGTATACAAATATACATATATTGTCGATGTTTAGTGTAATAAAGCAAAATTACAGATTCTGAGTTTCAGTTTACATTGATACATTATCTCTAATGAAGGTGCAAGCGTGAACAAAACTAAAATAACTTTTTAAAATGTAACTTCAAAACAAAACTTAATGTATAAGCAAATTATATATATATATATATATATATATATATATATATATATATATATATATATATATATATATATATATATATATATATATATATATTTGTGTCATCATCGTCCACGTTAGATCCTTTAACTTGATGAGTTTAGAATTCCTATTTATTGGTTGTTGTTTTATGTGAGTGACAAATTATCGTTTCATTTCTGATATGAACACTTGTTAGGATACAGTGAACACTCTGTTTCATCATTAATTCTACATGTTAGGTGAAAACAAATGATAAGAACCTAAACTGATCACAACTATTCTGTTTGTACACGGACAATATTTATAAGCTAACAATCTAATTAGAATAGATAATAATACTTAAATTTTTAATTTAGACAATGATTAAACACTTGTTTACTTTTAAAAAGAGATTTCATAAAAAATATGGATTATTGTATTTTTGAAGTGTTGATCCAAATGTATCATGACTATCTTGATTATTCAGAGTCCTACCATTGATGGGTGCATAATTCAGTGAAGTTTCAGATCAGATGAGAAAATCAGTTGTTCCATGTTTATTAATTTTTCAAATGTTCCTCATTTAAACTTATACTATGAATTTTATCTTGGAATTATACAAATACTCGATAAAATTACATTAAGCGTTGGATTCATGAGTCGAGTTGAGCTAGACCACTATGGAAAACCTGGAAGTGCTGAACGGCCTTTTCGTTCTAGTATGGGACTCAACAGTGCGCGTCCACGATCCTGCACGTGGGACTCGAACCCAGGACGTTCGGTTCCATTGATTCCAGTAGTATTTCAACTGAGATCAAATTTTGACGGATATAATCTGAAAGAAAACTATATTTATAAACAAAGATGGATAGTGGCTAGCAGTGGAATCCAGGACGCGCGTTTCGTTCTACTCGGGACTCGTCAGCTAGATGTACCTGCATCTCAGATGTGATGTTCATTCTGGGACTCGAACCCAGTACCATTCTCTTCGAACTCTGTCGCGTTATCCACTTAGCTTACTGAGTCCTATCTATCTTTGCTTATAATGCTTGTGAATTAAGGCGAATGGAGGCAATACGCATAATATACACATATGCCAATAAGAGACTGATTAATTGCAGTCCTAAACATCAATGAGAAGATTCAAGTAAACAATGTCAAGTGAGTTTGGAAATTATATTTGCTTACTTTATCTTTTACAAATTATCAATTAACATCGAATGGAAGCTTTAGTTGGATTAAATCTATAAATATCATTTGCCAAATCATTTTTGAAATATCAAAGATTAACTGAATAATCTTCTTTGCATCCTTATAGTTATCTTATTTTTACCATTAAATTATCTATCATGACCGATCAACTCCTTTTTTTTTATTTTGTGTATATGGTGATTTTTTTAATTAACCATTATAGTTTAATAAACTAATTCCTAACATTATTCAAGGTTAAAGCATAGTTGACTAGTGTTATTTGTCATGGGGTTAAAAAGTTTGTGTTTTCTTTTTTTCTTTTTTTCGAGTTACAAGAGTGAAATTATAAAAATCTCCAAAATGAAATTGAATATTATTGATTTTTTATTCAAATAAACTTTTAACTTTTCATTTCTATAGAGCAATTAGAAGATGGAGTTGACCGACTCTATCTCCTGATTGCTCTATCGAAATTTATAAAAGAAACTTATCATTGTTGTATGATATATATGGATAAACAAGTAACTACCAGTCAACTATTAATCAATCCTAGTTGGATTGTTAAATTTGATTACTATATAGTTTGATACCTGTATAATTGCATGAGTCATATGTCAGAATAATTTAGCAGTACTCATATTTGGTCATCTGGTCTTTTGTTGTTCTAATCAGAATTCTGAAGAGGTAATGATTTTATAATAGTTTATCAATCGTGTGAAAAGAATGCAATAAATGAGTTGGTGGATTTATCGCCTGTGACGCAGGCAAATATAAAATTCATCATTAAATATATTTTTTCTATCACAAAATCAATCTTCAATCCAGGTTTTCATTTGCTTGGAACTGTCACATTCTCTAAGCTGCATGGAACGATAGCTAATTGGTTAAATGATTTAATTTTTACTTAATAAATCACGTTTTGAAACTTTACTTACACAATTAAACCATCTGAATCAGAGGATTTCCGAAATTTTTCTCATGAGCTTCATATTGTCTTTCTCTTCTCGATTCTCCTTTAGACTTAAGTTACAGAACGGAACCCCTTGAATATGCACAATTAAATTTAGATACTATCATTTTTGTGTTTCAAATTTATTCAGCCTAATTTTTTAAATATCGAATAAGCTACAAATAAATATTATAAAAACTATTAAGAAATAAACTATTTATAAAGGTTTGAATAGGTGGCCATCTGGAGTTTTGATATTTTGTAGATGACGGGTCGGCGTTTGAAGCAACAGTTGATGTGTAAACATCAACTCTGCAATGCAGGTACATCCGGCTGACGAGTCCCAAATAAGATGAAACGTGAGTCCTGGATTCTACTGCTAGGTGCCATCCATCTCTGCTTATAATGTTTGTGACTTAAAGCAATATCGAGTCAATCCGCACAGCATGAACATATACCAATAAGTGACTGATCAATCACAGTCCTAAACATCAATGGAAAGATTCAAACAACCAATACAAAATGAATTGAATCTACTGTTTATATAAATCAGTTTGAATTTGTTAAACTTTCTCCTTATTCTTTTAAATAGAAGTGATGTTTTTTCAACACCAAAAAATCGAGATTTGTATGTACTATTTTATCTTTTATTCTATATTTCTCTATTAAGGTACATTTTAAAGTACGATTTGATGCAAAAGATTTTTTACCAGAAGATATTGAAGTGACTACAGTTGATAATCATCTACGAGTTCATGCTAAAAAATCAATTAAATCAGGCAATTCAACAACTGTACGTGAATTTCATCGTTCTGTTGATTTACCACGATCAATTGATCATGAAAATTTTCAATGTCATATGACAGAGGTAAGATTAATTTTATTCTTAATATTCATATTAAAATATAATTAATTTTTCAATGAATAAGCTTACTTACTTGAATAATTTTTTCTGGTTAGCGTTTTTTTTAGCGAGTTTTCTACGGGATGGGATCGCTAACCCCATGCCCGACCCTCCTTTACCCGGGCTTGGGACCGGCAGTAGCCCCCGGAGGGACTCCAGGCGGAGTTAATGAGTAAGCTATATTATACAAACAAACTGAATAAAATCAATTAACAATAATCATGATATTAGTTCCTGTTCAATATCATTAGAAAATTTAAGAAATCGTAATGTGCACAATACACCTTTATTATATAAAAATTAATTATTATACTCATAGTAAACATAGAACAGTTTTCAATGTTGATCTAGAAGTGGGCAAACACATATGGAGAAATTCGAACACTTCACTTCTATCTAAAGTTTGTGCTGATGATGTCGTTTAGAAGAACGATGAAGGCTCCACGATCAAGCCATCCAGCTCAGAGAACAAAAATCCATCAAAAGCATACTACAGTTTTCAGACTACATACATACTGTGGGTTCTTTTAGAAATGATGTGATTTATAATTAGTTTAGTGAAAAAATAGAATATGTTTGTAGTCGTTAAGGTGGTTAAGATGAATCTCACTCTACTGTATGAGCGGCTTGAGGAACTTACCTACGCTTATTTCCAGAAACCAAGCCCACAAGTAGTCTTTTTGGGACCTGAACAGGAATATAGAAGCCAGACATCAGTGCGGTGATAATGACTAATCACGACGTTTTGGATTATTTCAAAAACTTGAGCCCATAGTTTAGTTTTTTCACTGATGTATTTTTTTAAAAATTGAAACAACTAATTTTAAACTCAGTTTAGAATAAATAGATCTACAAGCTAATACCAGCTTGAATGAAAACTTCAAATATATAACACTGGATGAATTTTGTGTCATTAACAGAGGGTAACTTTCATAAAAAAAAAAGTATCATATGCAGAATTCCACTTTATAGAGTCAACGTGATGTTGAGAATTAGTAAATCTAGAGATCATTGTAGGACTTGTCGATCTTAGTTTGATTGTACATTCACAGTTACACATAGTACTCATGGGGTGGGTCAGTGTCACGGGGATACCTTTAGATTGTTTGGTGGAAATATAATAATTTCCGTTCACAACTTTAGCAATGTTTATAAAAAAAATATTCCATTAGGTTGTATAAAATGTAAATTGTATCTTATCAATCAATAGTTGGTAAATTCATGTTATTTTATTATGAAATTATATTACTGTGTCTTATTTTAAACGGAGTTCAAGGTTAAATTGAACTTTAAAAATACTACTCTATGGAGAACAAACAATAAAATCTATAAATTTTAATCTTATGATAAATGTACTTTAAAAGTTCTGCAAATATTTTATTGATAGAAGTTTTCTAAACAATCAATATTCTTTTATTATGGTTACAAGAATAAATAAGTTGATGAACAATTTGAATGTTTATTATTTTATAACAAAAAGTTAAGGGTAAACAACTCAACACTAAATAAAACGCATAACTTAATTTATTTTGTAGATATTTATTATGGTTTTTTAAATATAATATTGATGATTAAATGGGTGAAGAGTTGCTCAAGATCACGGATCTATTGAGGTTGAACTTTAACACTGTTGGATGCTGGCTCAGTAGTCTAGAGGTTAAGCGTTCACGCGCAAGACCTAGTATCCTAGGATAGATCACCAGCGTAGATGATCTATGTCGAAAATGATTGGAGGCCTACTAGAGTTAGACGTGAATGGTGTGACAAACTAGCTAACGTCGAAGTCACACCTCGTGGCCAGCGCTTACGTGGACTACCCCATTGACGTATCAAGGTACCATAGATGCTTTGAAGACTGTACAACACAGAGGACGTTATTACAGAAATATATTAGTTAAAGTAGATACAAGCGAAAGTAGGACCACCGCCGCATGTGCCAGTCCATGGCATACGACTAACTGATGCGAGTTGGTTGTCCCTGACCTTGATGAGGATCGATGATTTGCTCAATATTCAATGACCCAACTGCCGGATGACTTGGCTAGGGCTTAGTGACATTTCGCTGACCCTACACTAGATTCGAGTCCCACGTACGGGATTGTGGATGTGCACTGCTGAGGTGTTTCATACTAGAATGAAATGGCCGTCCTGGGCTTTCAGGTTTTCAATGATGGTCTAGCTTAGTTGACTTGTGAATTCAACATTATAAATGGTTTGTGTTACTTTTCTTAATGAAATTTATTAAAAAGTAAATTCAATAACTGAATGACATTGTACAACCCATGATACTTAATGAGATTATAGAATAATTTCTATATGTTATATTGTGAGTGATTACTACGAAGTAAGTTCTAAATACAGAAATGCCCACCAAGGTCAGGTTGAGTGAGTATTGTAACGTTTAAAATGGAGCTTGATTACTTAGTTGTTTAGTTATAGGAGTATAACTAATATTATGTTGGTTAAGCCTGTGTAATGACGTAATTAATTGGTAGTTTTGTCTTTGTAGTTACTATTCGCATAGGAATGAATATGAACAGCAAGCACATTAAGAAGCAAATAACTTTCATCAGTTGACTAACCCAGTTTGCCAGTTTACATTATATCTCCAGATATCTAATTCGAAGGTCTTTCATTAGATTTAGTTTATAATTTTTATTTTACTTTACTCTTGTTTGCATCAGTAAACAGTTTCGTTCACTCGAATACCACTACTCCTGATTACTCTTTTTATACAAGAATAATATTGCATATTCTTACTAAACAGTTGTTTAGAGTCTGTACAGAATCTAAAATTCCTTATTGACTTTTATAAAATGGAACTGTTTCATTGTTTATTACAATTTGTCACATAAATATTGAAATAATAAGTGTTTGGAAATCCTTTCAGTGTTCAATTTTTTTTAATTTTCAGTTTAGGTTTGTGGAGATTGTTGAGTTTTATTTGAGATTATGAACCGATCAATCTTAGACCAGCATTGGAAACCTGGAAGAGACCCATGCTAGGACGAAATGGTCGTCCCGTGCTTCCATATTTTCAATGGTGGTCTAACATTGATCGGTACATGTTATCAAATTTTATTTGTTTAAAGTACAACTAAATGACTCATACATCCTGCTGTAACAGAATGAACTTATTTCTTTCATTTAAACTGAATACGAACTGAGTGAGTGAAACTAGAGGTTTTCTCTTCTTGACCAATGACCACGCCCATTGAGATGGGTAATTTAAGGTGAAGTGTTCAAGAAATTTTGCCTAAAACGATTCTGTTTACAATTTTAATAATCTTATATGAATCCGTTATGTCTAATTGGTTTAGGTAGTTTCCATCTGTATGCATAAATTTACTCATGTGTGAAGTTTCACTTTTAAACGTTGAGGCTAAATAACAGTCATTATTCAAAACTGCCTAGATATTCTTTGTATAATAATAATAGTGATAATAATGGTAATAATAATGTTTGTATGTATGTATGCATGTCTGTATGTAATCGTTTCTTTAAGAACTATACTACTTTGTATGAACTTCAGTGTGATGAATAGAAATGACTGTAATTATAGATAAGGGATAACACTCTTTAGCAGGTATTGATTGCTAACACTAAACATGGCTACTACAATCCATTGTCAAACACGCATACAGAAAACGGTACTATGATTACAAGCCTTTCAAGTGTAGAAGAGATATGTATGTCCTTCACCAATAGACAACACTGTACAGAAAACACGTTATCTCAATCTCCTGTAAGATCTGATAAATCAAACTGACTAAACCTTCGTTTGACACTCGGATGCGATATGAAGTCAGCTTTTAATGAATAGAGTTGAAAATCTCAATGATAATCTTGGAGGGATTTTAGACTGACTTAATTAGTTATGGTTAAAATAATAGGATTCATTATAAAATTAAACATGTCTACTTGTACGATAGAAATATGAGTGATGAACTAGAAAACCATTGAGCTATCGGATAGCTGTGTTCTCCCTAGTTTAAGACTCTTCAACACCACGTACAAGAAAATCTGTAAGTGATCATGATCACGAAAAGGATATCACAGGGTACAATATCGTTGAGACACTGAATTCGGATCCAAATGGCCTGAGTTTTCAGATTTAGTTAATTAGCGAAGTAGCACATTTCTCACTCAACTACAGTTAAATTGAGCAAAATCTCTCTTGAAATTCGCCTTGGATTCAGGTTTATAATAATTAAACAGTTCATCGACAATGGGAATGCATATTCTATTCCACTCTAATCTATTGTCAAGTGTTGTTTATCAAATTTCTACCTTCATAATTTGTTTGAATAAAGTATCATGAGTCTGATAGTGTCAATTCAAAAACTGACCGGTTTATCAGTGTATTAATACTCTTATCAATGATTTCGTGGAACCGTTGTTTTAAAGAAAATACAACAAATACAATTTCCATTTTAAATAGTATAGGATTATTCAGTAAATGGAGTTATAATGTTCAGCATCTTTAAATACTAAAAAGTGAACGACTTATTTCTCAAGTACTTAATATTGATGATTTTCTCTAGCTGTTATTCGTATCTAAATATTTCGCTCATTGCTGAGATCGACAAAACATATGCTATCAGTCATTTTGGACTTATAGTTAGTCTGACAATAGGGGACGAAATGGTCGAGTAGCTAAGCCACTTGATTCGTGTCAGAGGCCTCACCAACCATAGTAAATTTCGTTTCTTATTGTGCTGATGTGAGGCATGACAAATTGGACCGAAAGACAAAATCGTACAAGGTTCCACCTTGTTTATAACTTATAGATTGATTGTCTGTGAATTCGTCCATTAAAGATATTGTAACCAAGTCATTTTCGTAATTGGAACACTAGTAACTTAACATATTTCGGTCATCCTACCTTTACACCCAGATGCTTTTTTTAGATTCATTTTAAGATACTTATTTCAAGAACAAGCACTTACAGTTTTCTCCTTTTACACACAGTTTATAAATTGTTATTTGAAACTCACTTTATTGATTTGAATTTTTTATTATTAACAGGATGGTGTATTGATACTAGATGCACCTGTTAAAGCTCCTGACTATCGAACAATTACATTTCAAGATGATCGTCAACTTGGCATCCGACCACGTGCTGAATCTGAGATAAAAGCCACTCCTAATAGTAATAAAACACCAGTCTGTTTAACTGTAACCGGTTAGTTGCATCACTATGATTCTATATTTTATTCTGAATTTTGCTAAATCATTGCTGTCCAGTATTATAATGAAGAGGTCTTAGCCTCAACTTATGATATGACTTTATATGATATTATTGATATCGAAAACAATTCTTGGTTAAACAGCCAGTCATTCTGAGGAAAACAATGAGTTCCTGTCAAGCCATATCTTTCTTCTAGTTACTATTCATTTAAACAAGAAAGAAACTTGTTCAATCATGATTATATGGATAATTTCAAGGTCTGTTTTACAAGTAGCTCTATGAAACAAGTGGTTGGTGGATTTCTGAATTCTAGCATATTTCCAAAATAATTTATACATTATGTGAATATTATTAGTAAACTAAAAGCATTTGTTTTCGGAGTCGGTTTGACTACGCGATTAATAGCGATTTAATTGATTAAAAACCTTTTTAGACAGTGAACAACTAATCATTTAATATATTCTTAAAGAATTCATCCATAAGTACTTTCAAGGTATTAATTACTTGATGTAATAAGCCTTCATCAAAAGAAATGGTCAGAAAGTTTTGTTTACTACATTAATCCACTAAAATCTATGCAGCCTAACATTAAAGAATTTTTCGAAATGTTTGAATGTATTACTACTGCTGGGTCAAGAAACTGTTATAGTCCATCAAGGTATTGACTGGTTGGTTTGAGATGTACAAAAAAATGACCATTATCAATAGTTTAAAATTAATTGCAATGGTACTTCATCATTCTTCTAATTCTTAAACATTATGTTTTTTACTTCTTCCATTCTCGAACTTTTTTCCCAATTCTTTCCACCTTCCTTACTTTTTGTTGGCTTTTCACTACTATCTGGGCTACAGTTTTCAGTCGTTTTTGTTCTTCCTTGATGTGCTGATTAAGAGATATGAAAAATTATAATTTATAAGATAAATCTACATGTTAATTCCTACTTTTCAGAAATTGTGACTCATAACTATAACACTACATTTTATCATTACCTTAAACATTGAGATTAGTAATTTTCAGTCAACTTAATTTTTCCAAAGCCTTAAAAGATAAGTTATTGAATTCATTCACTTCAATTTACATTTCTCATTTTACGTTTTGTTGTGTGGCTGGGTATATCAACCGTTCGATTCAGTTTCTATTCAAGTGTGTTCAACAATATTTTCATGCTAAATTAAAAAGAGGCAAGAATGAATACATAAGAAAAACTCGATAGTACAACATTTTGCTAATACTAACTATTCAACTAAGACTCATAGTTTAGCGTTATTTATCATACATATTGAATCGAAAGCATTGACATTTTACTTCCCATTGATAAATCCATTACCATACGTACATAAAGTTCCCACATACGTATTCATAAGAAAATTCTCTAACTTTACCTATTATTATTGAAATCCCTTGTTATCCAAATCAATCAGCCTTAACTTTCTTCTTGTACTCTGTTAACCTGTTGTCATGATTTAATAAAAAAAATAAGGCGGTTCTTTTCATTCATCATCAATTTAGTTTACATATTCTTTTCTATGATAGAGTTTTAACAGGTTTTTTTTTCTTCTATTTGTTCATGTGTTTATTTGGTTGAATGAATTGATTTGGAAAAAAAATCAATTTATTGATTATTTCATTTTTATGGTTTTTATTAAAATGTAAATTAACTAGTTGTAATTATATACGTGTAAACAACACACATACAAACTCATTAATCTTTTTTCTTTCATTGTTAAAATCTTTAAACAAAAATGCAAAATTCTTAAATATGAATCTTAAATGAAAAACATAATTAATCACACTTTATTTAACAAAATACATTTAAATAAGATCACCTTTATATTATATGTATGTAACTGTTGGGACGGTTTTCGAGAATTACGACGGAGCCTCCAGAGGTCCTAAAAGAGTTGAAGAGTTTCCGTCCAATCAGAACATGATGGAGCTTACTAGAATATCAACGTGGCATGCTACAACTGGATAGTAGCATAACTTGCCTCTTTGTGGCTGAATTATAATGTTCATATAACAAATGCTAATATCAATAAATACCCTTGATTTTCTGCACATTTTGATTGTTACCCAACAAATAATTTTCCGATTTTCTCCTGTCTTCTAATTATGGGACTATAGGGTTCTATACGTTCGAGTGCCGTAGTTGCATACCGTATGCTGCGTTAATTAAGTAGCGAACATAACAATAACATTGTCTTTTTTTTAAGTATATTTTTTTCTTAATAAGTCTCGAAATTATTCATTATTCAAATCCACTTGGTGTTGATCTAATTGTATCTTCCCATTGTTATTTAGGACTGCGATTGATCAGTCTTTTGTTGGGATATGTGCATCCTGTGCGAATTGCCTCGATGTAGCCTTAAGTTACAAGATGTTTAAGCAAAGATGGATAGTGGCTAGCAGTGGAATCCAGGACGCGCGTTCCGTTCTGTCTGGGACTCGTCAGCTGGATGTATCTGCATTCCAGAGTTGATGTTCATTCCGGAACTCGAATCCAGTACCGTCCGCTTCAAACGCTGTCGGGTTATCCACTTAGCTACTGAGTCCTTATAGAAACTTGCTTGTGCAATGAGGTGAAGTTTAAATTCACTAGATTTTATTTTACTTGTAACAGGTACATCCATCTGACGTGTCTCACATAGGACGAAACGCGCGTCCTGGATTCCACTGCTAGCCACTATCCATCTTTGTTGATTCGTTATTCAGTTAAGTTGTTCAAATAAAATAATGTACACCTCTGAAAAATATTTAAATTCTTTATTTTAAATAAAAGTATTTTAAACCAAATTATCTAATTTACTGAATGGATACTTAAATGATGTGAGCATATGGAATATTTATTTCCTTGAAAAAGTCTTGCTAGATACTTATTTAAGTTGTAATAAAGTATAGTTTTATTGGATTATTTACACTTATATAATTATCTATTGATTATCCTTGTATTAATACTTCAATTGAAACTTTTTCAACGTTTATTAAAAGATGAAAAAGAATTGGTTTTCATCGGATTCCTAGAGTTTTTTTCTTATCTATTTATTGATAATGAGATTAAAATTTCTCTTTCTTTTTTAAAAAAAGAAGAAAACACATTGTCCTGGAAACAATTATTATCAATGCTGTATTAATTTACATTAGTAATTTTATATCTGATAATTTTGTACCGATATTTATTTATTAGATCTATTATGAAAGGAAAGAATGTGTACAAAGTCAATCGTAAACAACATAAAATCTGATACAAATATGTATCGGTAAAATGTTGTTAGATTCCATTACATCATTACAACGACATTAAAATTAGGGATACGATACAATCAATTGATATATTGTTATCTTTTGAAATTTTATCTAGGTTGTTCTGAACCAACAATAATGAAAGATGGCATCAATGGAAGAAAACTACATCTTGAAGTCACTGTAGATCCAATTTATAAAGCTGATGAATTATGCGTTCGTATGGATTCTAATCGTATAGTTATAACTGGTTGTCAAAAGAAAACTGAAGCAAAATCAACTTCCACTGCCGAATTCACTCAGTCATTTGAAGTTCCTGAAACAGTAGATCCATTTTCAGTTACTGCTCAATTGATTGGAACAACACTTGTCGTTGAAGCGCCATTATTATGCACAGTTTAGGTTGAGTAGGAAAAAAACTCAATTCATCATGAACATTTTGTGTGTGCGAAGAAGGGTCGGAGAGAGAGAGAGAGAGAAAGGGAATGAATAACATGTGTTCTTTATAAATAAAATGTTTTTGTTAGTGATAACTTAATGTGTTACACCACACAACAAGTGTGTAGTTATTCTGTAGGGGAATGGAAATAACTAATTCTTTAATGTTTTATTTGCTTTTATTCAAATATTATTGCTGCATCACTTTGCTATTACAATTAATGATTTTCTACATCTAATCAATAATGACTGTCAATCATGAGATTGACGTGCTTTTTTTCTCAAAGAAAAATTTGTCCAGTGTTTTCCATTCTAAAAATGATCCAAAACTGTTTTATTTATCAGTTAACTTTTTCTCCAACCCTTTTTATATGTTTATTTTTATCTCCAGTTTATGCCTTATGCCTTCACTGTTTCTTTTTTGCTACTTTTCCAGAGATGAGATGAGAAGGTAGTTATGCTGTTTATCTTATTATTGTGAAATTTATTTATCTATACATAATTAACATTTTCGCATGCAATCATTCGTTCTTTAATGGTTACATTATTTTACTATGTAAAACGGAAATTTTTTGCTTATATATCATTTTTCTGCGAATGTATGAGGGAGATATGCATACACTCTAGTTGTTTTTCCAAAAAAAGTACTGGTGATTAATACAAGGAAGATGGAGGTGACTATGTGCACTATCACTACTATGACTATACCAACATTTTTATCATCACTACGACAACACTCATTAATAATGTTCATTTGGTTAGCCTATTCATAATGCTTAATTTCAACTAATAAACACTTTTAAAAGATTGAATTTATTCTTGTTTTGCTTTACTGCAATATAAATCCAAATGGTTTGTACTGACATTGTCAGGAGTAGTCATTTAAAACAGATTGTATATGATTTGGGGGTTTTTGTAATGTTCTTGAACAGGATAATCAATTTGAACAGTAATTTCAGAGTTATTTTCCTGACATCAGAACAAAACCTATTAAGATATTTTCACATCATTGAGTTATGTCTTAATGATATCATGAATCTTAATTTTAATCGGTTTATGACGTAACCCTGTTGCCTATATATCATGTCATCCTGATAGAACAATCGGAAGAGAGTTGATCTGAAAAAAAAATTGATGTATTTTATCTATACATTTCAAACAATCAGGTCACACAAATACTTGTCAAGGCATTTTATATAAATAATTGATAAAGATCAATTAAATAAAAGCTTAGGTAAACAAAGTTATAATTATTATCAGAGATGGACGGATGGTGGCTAACAATGGAACCCAGTATTCCCACCTGGGACCCATCAGCTGAAGTAGATGTTCACTCGGGAACTCCAACCCAGTACCGTTCACTCCAAACGCCATCGCATTTTCAACAGGATGCACATATGCTAATAAGTGACTGGTCAATTGCAGTAGTAAACATCAATGGGAGAATTCGATCAAACAAAAAAAGTTATAATTCTTAGTAAAGAGGGGAGGGAATTAATATCGTATAGAAACAATAGGGAACTGTCAGTGTCACGTCATTGTCGGTCAGTTACTGTTATATTATCATAGTTTTATTCAGGAATTTCAGTCAGGCTGTAATTCGAGGGTACAAATATGACAAATATTTTATTCCAGTTGGAAATAAGAATAGAATTAGTTACAATACTATACACACACTGACACAAGATAATTGTATCCTATCCCTACGGATATGTGGGTGCACTTATCATAAATACACAAACCGTGTTCGCGTACGAAATAAAGGTATTGATATCGAGATTTTCATGTACATGTTTACCTAAACAGTTTAACAGAAAAGACAGTAGTCTAGTTAATTGATTGGGAAATGTTAGACATGAAGGACGGCCGAAATATCACATTCACTGTATTATAAATGAAATTTCACAAATATTTCTAGCAAAAGAACTGAAAAAGGTAAATATGTTTCGCTATTTTTAGAATTAGTTCTGACATGTCACATTTGATCGAAATTCTATTCGCATAATCGTACATCTATGTGTGTATATTATTTGTAGGAAAACAAGAGCACTCTGACCAAATAGATAAGTACAACACTATATAAAAGAAATGTTAAGGTGCTATTATTCGTAATAGTTGGAAGATTGTGTCCTTCCTCTTATATCTATGGGCAAACAAGTGAATGTGCTTCCTTATCATCATATTTGTATCTTTACTCTTCATACAAGCGTGGTTTGTGTATTTATGATAAATGCGTTCACACACCCATAGGGATAGGATACAATTATCTTGTGTCAGTGTGTGTATAGTATTGTAACTAATTCTATTCTTATTTCCAACTGGAATAAAATATTTGTCATATTTGTACCCTCGAATTACAGCCTGACTGAAATTCCTGAATAAAACTATGATAATATAACAGTAACTGACTGACAATAACATAATATGTGGCTGATAGTGTTATATCACAAATTGGTTAAAGTTGAAAGTTGTGATACCATTGAGATATCTTAGTTGATGTGAAATCCAAATATGTTGGGTTTGATCGTGTGTGTGTTTGTGTGTGCTAAAAGATACACACTACTTGGAAGTCTCAAACTATGGTGTAAGAGTTACTGTTCAGAGCTCACTGTTTTTCTATGATTTTTAAACTTACCTTTGTTCAGTTTGTGATAGAAAGTCTCCTTAAATGATCTTTATTTGTTAGATTTGTAGCTGGTGGGCATGATATTTGTTTGGCTTAAGAAGTAACACTCGCTCAGTTCCGAATATTAAGTTCTCCATTTTCCTTGACAGATATTTGTTTATAATTGAAAGTGAACTTAAAAGGTTTTTGCTTGATCGATATGTACTTCATCTTACAACGTAATCACGCTATTGGGTCAGTCGATAAACGTTAACTAGGAGAATAAAGAACATATTCTAGATGAGAGAAATGTCAAAAAATGATTTTAAAATATGTATTGGATAGGAATTTTGATGAACAAGTCACACCAATAACGGTTATATTTCCATCAAATTAAACGCCAGTCAAAACTGTTTATACAGGTCTCAAATAAAATTATTATTTATTTTCAATGAGTGATATTTTGATAGAGTATTTGAAGGACAATTGGTGTCAAATTAATAGTTTTGTATTTGAACATTTGAATAGTTCTATTCAGTTAACTTTACAATAATTCTATTTCAAAGAAAACTCACATTCGAAAGTATGATACAGGTACTTTACTTTTTACATTAAATAAGCCATTCAATTTATTTTTTAGCTGGCTTTTTTAAATTACGATGATGTGTAAGATTGTATCTCTGGGGGAGGATTTTGGAAATGACTTATTTTCTGAGCTGGATTATCCAATCGTGAAGCTTTCATTGTCTTCCTAAATAACACCATCAGGACGTATTTCGAGAAGAAGAGGGCTATTAGTATTTTTTCACAACTAATTAATTGATTGTTATATCAGCATAGAATTTGATTGGTTTTTGTTCATAAATATATTTTCATTGTTTGGACATTTATTTTGAATTTCTTCTCTTGTGGACTGGTTTTTTATTAACAGAACAAAGTGTTAGTCAAAAATCTGATAGCTCATTTTATTCTGAGGTATATGATGACGATTCTGTGCATCCCGTCCCAGTACGTTTCCTGTTTGAATGTCTTCTTATGGACCTATTAGCTGTGTTCGTTAATAGAACGTCCGAAAAGGTTATCCTAACTTCACTTCGTTTTTAGATGCAAACGTAATGGCTGGTTGTATTTTCATAAACTGCCTAAAAACCTCATATTGTAATGTACTGTCTTTATAGAGGATGAACATTTCATCCATATATCGACAGTAAAATGTAAATTGTTGAATTAACTGATGAAGGCGTCAGTATAAATCATTCTTTGTCAATGGTTTATCTGGTTAGTGATTTTCTGCTAAAGTTTGCTAAAATCATAGTCCTTCAAAGCGCAAAAGCAAATGTCATTTAGACTAAAACCCGCAACTATGTATGAAAATGAAAAAAATATATGCAATCCATTCTTTAATCTTGGCCAACCTTAGGGACAATTAATCTTAACTATAGAATGACCTGATATGAGTAATATACATACAACTTTTCTTAGTCAAATTTAATTGTTTTTGCTATCTTTATTCACATGTCTTCGTATTATTCTGATCAGTAATTTCACAACTTCATAAAAACTTCATTTTGTTTTTTTTGAAGTGCAAATTCCTCTGTCATTTAAAGCAATTAGTCCCTTTGATGGATTTCAATAATGTAATAAGAAGACGAATATTATCAGAACTATGTGATATATTAGCTCAATACATTTCGAACAATCTAATCACACATACTTGTTAAGAACATTTATATATAAAAGTGTAAAAGGGCGTATACTAAGGTTTATTGAAGCCTTAGTCATACGAAAATTCAAACCCCCTTTGTGTATTCAAAAACAGTTTGTTCTCACCTCGAACCTACCCTGGTAATGTTGGCTTATTATGCAGAGTGATTAGGTTTCAAATTGTGTTCACATTATTATTACTACTCTTATTATTATTATCCTTGTCTCCTCTTACCCTCCATTTCTAGTCTAATTGACCTGTTATTTTTATATATAAATGTTCTTAACAAGTATATGTGTGATTAGTTTGTTCGGAATGTTTTGATCTAATATATCACATAGTTCTGATAATAATCGTCTTCTTATGACATTATCGAAATTCCTCTGTCATTGTTTTATCAGTCTTTTTATTCTATTTATTAGTTCATAATTTTTTCATAACAAATCAAATTATTCCGGCCTTTATTAAATGATCTTTCTAATTTATAAATAATACAATTTAATGTCGTAACAGATGCAAACATTCACCTATTTTTTCAACATATAACACTGTCAAATTCATTCATACATACTGTATTTTGATCTTTGTAAAATATTACAATTGTAGAGCCTAATGATGAAATGATTACAAAAGAAATGGTTTGCTCAGAAAATTCTTTGTTTTTTGGAATATTCTAGGGAGTTTTCTAAACTACTGAGGTTAAGATGTTTGAAAATTTCCATCTATTAACAAAATGGAAATCTATTTAAAAAAAAAATAAATTTCGTCTTATAAACCTAATTAATTTGCTTATTGACTCTAATTATTATTATGCGGATTATTACTTATCACTTCTTTTGAAAAACAAAACATGGTTAACTTTTACTGGTCGAAATCATGAGTCAATTGAAGCTAGACCACCATGGAAAACCTGGAAGCACTGGACGGCTGTTTCGTCCTAGTATGGGACTCCTCAGCAGTGGGCATCCACGAACCCGCCCCCCGCGGGATTCGAACCCAGGACCTACTGGCTTCGCGCGCGAGCACTTAACCATTAGACCACTGAGTTTTGATAAGCTGTTAGAGAGAGAGAAGGTTCTAATGTAAATCAATAAGCTTAAAGTAAAATATTTGAAAGTAATGGAATAAGTTTATCAAAAAAAGAACTGAGATTATATGATGAATAGCAAAATAAACACACTAAGAATTTAGTAATTACAAATGATGATATGTATTTAATTATTAATTACTGTCAGGAATTCATATTTTATATAAAAGTAATCCTATGACATTACTTGAAGTTTGAGATTCTGTATCATTTAGTTCTTAACCTTAAAATGAATACATCGAGAACGACGAACATTTTAAAGTGTGAGTTCACTTCATTGCGTTTGCTTAAATTCCTACAAATTAAATGTTGTACAATATGATTTTGAGTGAAACATATATAACACAACTCTGTTTACTGTTAATATATGGTCGTAAGTGCTTTGTATTATCATATAGATCGAAATGATACAGTAATAGAAAAGGTGATTTCGATCATGATGTAATCAATCACGAGGAACATGTAAAAAATGTTACTTGTTTGGTGGAAATTATGGTAGCAATAGTGATATAATCATAATTAATGGTAACAATAATATTGATAATAATGACAGTTCAAAGTTATGTTATTTTTGAAATGTTAATACTTGGTTTCAAATTATTTTCTGAATAATGATACGAGTAATGAAGTCAAGTATAATAATATTTGTAAATATTTATTTCTTCTCATTGCTGATATTTGCCACTATTTTACCAATCTCTGTCGGTATATTTACATGAGCATGTGATTACTTTGATATTTCCTGAACATGTAAGTTAGAGTATATTTTTGTGTTAAGGCTAGGAGTGTGATCTAGAACATAAGTTTTATCTTATTTAAGGCTCGTTATTTAGATTTGCATGCATCCTAATATTGATCTCAACATTGAGATTCAAACTCAGTAATTGTTGCTTCAGAAGACAATAAGTTATTCACCAAACTGCTGACTTACAACAACCACTGACTTGTTCAAATGTATAGATTATTATTGTTAAAGGTTTCATTTTCTTTGCTTCATGATATTCAGAACTACATTTACTTACTTACTTACTTACTTACTTACTTACTTACTTACTTACTTACTTACTTATGCCTGTTACTCCTCGTGAAGGAACATAGACCGCTCACCAGCATTCGCCACCCAACTCTGTCCTAGGCAATCCTTTCTAGCTCCTTCCAGTTGTCATTCATCCTTTTCATATCTGCTTCTATTTCCCGAAGCAATGTGTTCTTTGGCCTTCCTCTTTTCCATCTCCCTTCAGGATTCCAAGTTAGGGCTGGCGTCGTGATGCAGTTTGACGATTTGCGTAATGTATGTCCTATCCATTTCCATAATCTTTTCTTAATTTCTTCCTCAGCTGGAAGCTGGTTTATTCTCTCCCACAAAACGCTGGTGCTGATGGTATCCGGCCAATGGATGTTGAGTATCTTGCGTAGACAACCATTTATAAAGACTTGTACCTTCTTGATGGTGGTTGTTGTATTTCTCGCAGTTTCAGCTCCGTACAGTAGAACTGCCTTGACGTTGGTGAACTACATTTAGTCATTTTAAAAAAAATTAAAAAAATGATAAATTTCAACTTAGATAAAGTAAACAATGATGTTATTCTATTTAAATGAAACGTGGTGAAAAGGTTTAAAATATTTGTGATAGGTATAGATCAAAAAATAAATAAACAGCAGTTAAGAAGGGAAAAATACTAAAATCTATACCAAGTAATACATTCACTTATTATTACCATCAATATGCTATATATATACAAATTACAAGGGATTTGCTAACGCAATTGTATTGATTAGACTATACTTGATCGATCCAAAAACATTTGAAATATATATATATATATATATCACATTTGAATACAGTATTCTCTATGTACACAATATGTGTAAAATCATTTATTACTACTTATTATACTACTTAAATTTATTTAATTCAATAAATATTTCAAATTCAAATATGTTATCAAAATTAAATTTATTAACATTAGATCGTTCAATCAATAAAATCAATATATTATTTTCACATTTTATTCCATTCAATGATATGATTCATAGAAAATCACGTAGACAATATAATGGTATTATAGAAACTAATTTCATAAAAAATTTACATCATTTATATATTGGTCATCAAATTTATATTAATTTAACTAATATTATAGATTATTATTATTATAATTATGAATTATCAAAGTTAATATTGAATAGATCTATAACAATGAATGATTTAATACAATTTAATGAAAGAGTATTTCTTGATGTATTCAAATTAATTATCAATGAAAATACAATAAACCATACAGATTATTTACATTCTATTCATAGAATTAATGATATAGATTGGAATGATGATAGAAATTTTATTAAAAAAGCTTATATGAAATCATTAATACCAAAGAGATATATACCTGGTCAATCATGGTATATTTTATTAATGCATTCATGGAGATTATATTTTTTATTCATAATTCATAGTTCTAATTTATGGTTACGTTATAAATCAGAAAATATAATAAATCAAAGTGATTTACCTAAAACAATTGATGAATGGAGTGTTATATTTATATATTTATTATGTTCAGTATATCATTCTAAACAATTGAATAGAGATTATCAATTACCATATGGTTTTTGCCCAAATCCATGTTTAATTAATCCATGCCTTGAAGTGGTTAATACAATGTCAAGTAAATGTATAAGAACTGGATATTTTGAAAATAGTTACAAATGTGAATGTCGTAATGGTTATCAATGGAAACAAGTTAAAGGATATAAAGGTAATAACAAAATATTTGTTTTGTTTAAATTATTTTATATAAATAATGGTGATAATAGAAATGGATAGAGCATTATGTATAGTACAATAACAGTATCGATTGATCTTTGATATTTGACCGGGTTTCTACATGCATTGATCAGTATTGTAAATGTTTGTTAACTAACTATGGTATAAATCGATATATGTAATTTAAGATATTTCACAACGAAGTAAGTTCTTTTATCTTAATTCACATCAAGCGGGATTGGAAATAAAAGAATGGTCGATTAGTTTCGGTCTCTTTTTATAGGGTTTTTTTATTTGTACACGAGTGTCAGTCGGTCCTATATAGCAAAGAACCTGGCACATATGTGCATCATTTCAAGTCTCCACATCACATAAGGAATGGTGACGATAAGTCCCAGAGAAGTAGAAGTGTTAATAGTATCAATGGTAGTAAAAGAAATTAGCTGCAGGAGGTATGATTTGAGGAGAAAATATGAATTCATGGAGTAGAAATGAATTATGAGATCAATCAGGATCTTAAGGATTAGAGGAAGGCAAAGAGTGAATAAATCTGCACCATTCCAAAAGATTCTTAGTCATTTCACCCGAATTCTTTAACTAATAGCCAGAAAAGTGGTACGGACCCCAGCCAAACCGTCTGTACGTACTTAGACTGGTGATACGTTTTGGTTTGATCGCCTTTTACTCTATTCTAACCTACTCCTACACCAGCAAACATAGGCCAACCAGGTAGCTGAAAGGATGGGTACGCGTAATACATGTCCCAACCACATCGATCGATGAACATGTATTACCTCACAAATGGATTTTTTCAAACTTATTTAGTGCCTTTGTTGAATCTCGGCATTGCCTACTCGGTGGTCCCAAAATACACGAGCAATGTTTCGAAGATATCTGTGATCGAATACTAGTAACCTACGAACATCCTCTATTCATAATGACCACGTTTCACAGCCATAAAGTTTAATGGAATGAACTACTACACAGCATACTCGTCCTTTCGTTGGTAGCCAGATACCTTATCTACATCACAAGTGGTGAAACTTGGCTAAGGTTGACCGATCTTCCTGAATCTGTGCCGAGATTTCGCCAGACAACAACTCATCAGGGTTGATGGAACCTTTATGACAAGCGAAGTAGTTGATGCACTCAGTTACATCGCTTCCTATCATTATTTCAGTAGTTGACACAGACCGATCGTGAAGCCACATTTCGCAATTAGAGAAACAAAAACGCATTTCAAATATGCTTAAATTGTTGCTCAAGGAGGTTAAAAGACTGTGTTTCATCAGCGTCCTCACCATTTCATCTGAATGTTCTATCAACAAGTAGACTTTCTGGTAGGAGATCAACTCCAGAATGAGAATGTTATATTTGGAAGAATGTCTACTACAAAGTTGAATAATAATGGAGAAAGAAAATGACTCTGTCAAACAAAATTGAAGTTATCAATACCAATGAAAGTTCCTCATAAGCTCTGACTCGACCATTAGTATTCGAGTAGAGAACATGTACGAGATTAATATACTTCTTTGTCATGCCTGTGGTGGATCCCAGCAAAAGAGCTTATTCAAGATATATCAATACGCAGGGTTATTAATAATATACCAAAAGAGTTAACAGTAAAAACCCTAGGTGTCTGTCTATGAGTAAAATCAAAGGTCAACAAATTACAGTTAGAATACAAATGGTATATTAGACAACAAGATAATAACAGTTGTTATTAAATGAATGTTACTTGCAAGTCGCTCTCTGAGATAACAACCACAAATGAGTTCACTTGATTAACGAAGATTCCTCTGCACAAGATGGCACCAACGGCGTAATGAGAAAGACTGGATCCAATAGTATTATGTAATAATAATCCGGGCCAAAAATCCAACGTAATGTAGGAAGGCCTAAAAGGACGTTATAACACTATTATAGCCTTCAATCAAAGGCCGTGGCCAATAAAGCAGAAGAACAGACGGCGGAGATAGTATTTCATATTTCAACCAACGCGGTAGAATATTCCTATATAAGTATCCAAATAATTATAATCGTTTTTAAACAAGTGATACAGAAAAACAATAGATATTGAATAAAAATGTGGTTACATATAAAGTGTGACGAATTGGAGAAAAAGTGCGGTTTTTATTTTGTCGTTACAAAAATCACTGAATATACATAACCATATAACTCCCCCCCTAAGGCATGAGTCAGTGGAAATATGCCCGACGTAGAACTCTAAATGCTTTGGAGGAAAGAAAATTACACAACGAAAAGAATAAACAAATGTTATCAGAAAAAAATTCATATGTGTTTATATATTTACGAACGAAAACGTTTTCCTTGTAGTAAAGAAAAAAATTGTATTTCTTATTTCAGTGTATATAAAAGGCTTAACAACAATAACGGAATGTATAATAATAAGTGTTATTAATAATAACGGTAATTAAATTGATAGTTCACCAAAAAGTGTAGATACATGTATATATCGTATAAACAATTAGTGATAAACTGAACGAATCCAACGAAGTTGAATATCGTTACACAATTAATAATAAACATCATATGAAACGCATACACATGTAGAGAAAATATAATGAATTTATCAATGTTAGTAGTACATACGAAATGTGTTTTTTTTCAAATTGCTTGCAAAAAATGTTATTAGTAACTCTGCTAATATAGATATTTACTCTCCCTACAGAAAATGACAGAAGGAAGATTAAGTGGGGAATTCAACATAACGTTTGAGAAAATGTACTTGCCTTCCTGTACGAGTTGTTTCCACAGTAGGTAAAGTGGTGGAACTAGGAGTTAAATTTGTGGGAGCTGTAACTTTAGCATCATCCATTTTAAGAGGTGTTGATTTCACAGGAGTAGGTGAAGAATTAGCTGGAAACACAGGAAGCTGCGTTGTGCAACTGCTTCTGTCTTTAGACAGCTTTCGACTGCAATGTGTTTCAGACTCTACAAAAGCAGGTTTTATCCTGTCAGTTGAAACTGTCTCTTTTTTTCCATTCTTCCTGATTGTGAAATATTTTGTTTGCCTCTCCAGTACTTCATACGGTCCTTCATAAGGGTGTTGTAAAGGACGTCTTACGGAGTCAACACGAACAAATACAAATTTACATGTATCTAGATGCTTGCTAATTTGCTCTTTGAAGACAACTGGTCGAGGTGCAACAGGCTCAATGTTATTCATATAGCTCATTAGTCTTTCGCAAAAAGAAGCGGGGTCCGTACATAGGGATTTGTCGTTATGCATTGCTAGTTGACCAGGTAAGGTTAAATTAGCTACATAAACGAGCTGTGCAGGTGTGCATTGGAGGTCTTCCTTAATTGTAGAACGTATGCTCAGTAAAATCAGAGGTAGGGATTCACTCCATCTGGTAACATCAGGCTGTACCATCAGTGAGCTTTTTAGTTGTCTGTGGAATCGTTCCACTAGTCCATTTGCTGCTGGATGGTATGCTGTTGTAGTGATGTGATGGATTCCTAAAATGCGTGTAAATTCATTGAAGAGGTGAGATTGGAACTGTGAACCTCTGTCAGAAGTAACTGTAGAAGGTACACCAAAATTAGAAATCCATCTGTCGAGGAATACGGCAGCAACATTTTCGGCGGAGATGTCTTTTATCGGGTATGAATTGGCCATCTGGTAAAATGGTCCAGTGCAGTAAAAATGTAAGTAAATCCGTTAGATGGGGCTAATGGACCAACTAAATCAACATGAACATGTTGAAAACGATGGTGCGGTAGACTGAATTTTAATGGTGTTGTAATTGTATGTCTGTGAATTTTGCTGCGCTGGCATTGTACACAATTTCTGGTCCATTTTTTAATATTTGCATCCATCTTTGGCCAAACAAATCTTTCGGCAATCAGTTTCACAGTAGTGCGAATTCCTGGATGAGATAGTGAGTGAAGACAATCAAAAACTTTTTTTCTGTGTTCCAGTCGAAGTATCACAAATTATAGTAGAGTCAGAATGTGGTATAGGAACACTTTTAAAGACCAGACTCGAACTTTTCTTACAAGCAGCAAGATCAGAATCATCTATCTGTAAACGTACTATGTCTAATAAATCGATTCCTTTGGTGAAGGAAATTTCATCGACGTTGAAACGTAATAGAGTATCCGCAACAACATTTGACCCACTTTTTGTAAACTGTATGTTGGTCGAAAATTGAGAAATATAGTCTAGTTGTCGCATTTCTCTAGGGGAATGACGATCACTTTTAGCGTTAAAGGCATAAGTTAAAGGTTTGTGATCAGTGAGTATCACGAAATCTCTGCCTTGCAGTAAGTGTTTAAAATGTTTAACAGCTAGGTAAATAGCCAATAGTTCTCTACCGAAAGTGCTATATCGAGTTTGGGTTGGTTCTAGCTTCTTTGAAAAGAAAGCAAGTGGTTTGACCTCATTATTTACTCGCTGTTGTAGTACCGCACCTACTGCTGCCTGGGATGCATCTTTACACAGAATTAGTGTTGCTTCCGGATCAGGGTTTAAGTAGGTTAGCATGGTAGTAGAAGCGATTGCTGTTTTAGCTGCAGAAAAAAGCATTTTTCGCTTCGGGAGGTAATGCGAACTTTTTGACTTTGCCTTTTAACACCTCCGTCTAAGGTTGTAGAATTGCCGAGGAATGTGGAATAAAGCGACGATAAAAATTGATCATCCCCATGAAACGTTGAAGTCTATTCCATGAATCTGGCCCTGGAAAATTTTTAATGGATGCTATTTTTGTATCTAACGGTTTGATTCCATGTTTATCAATCGAGTGACCTAAAAACTCCAAACTCTCGACTCCAAAAGTGCATTTGGATGGATTAATAACTATACCGTATCTCTAAAATCTTTCGAATAATTGATGTAGGTGGTCGATGTGTTCATTGAACGAACTGCTAGCTATTAATACATCATCGATATACACGAAAACAAGATCTAGGCCTTTAGTGACCTCATCCATAAATCGTCGAAAGGTCTGTGCAGCGTTCTTTAATCCAAATGGCATTCTTAGAAATTCAAACAAACCAAATGGAGTAATAATGGCTGTTTTTTCTATATCCTCGGATGCTACTGGGATCTGATGAATAACATTTAATGACTGAGTATTTGTGCCTAAATTATAATAATTTTTTATAAGTTCTCCAAATCGGCAGCTAATGTTTCTATAAAACTTCGTTATAATGGGAATATTTAATTTTCTCGGTACACTTTCATTATATGATTGTAAGTAGCTGACTGATGTGCTTATTTTTGAGCTCAGAAATCAGAAGTCATAAACTCATTCAAGAGAGGAATGATTAATCTATTTCTTTGATTTGCATTTGTATGTTAATGAATCAATGTATATTAGAAATTATTACCCGGTTAACAAGCTTTTATACTTAGCTGATGCCTAAGGATTAGTGATTTACTCAAACATAGTACCAGCTTTTGAAACTACAGAGGAATTTCATTGAGAGGATTACTTCATCATTTCGTAGGTAATAATCCATTAGGTTTATATATTTATGTAAATTACATAAACTATTATTGAAACTCACGCTTATAATAAGTTCTTCCACTTATGAATACAACCTCTACTTAGATTATAACATATCCTTCATATACATGTAAATTACTTGTTAAGCTGTTCATTGAAAATATTGATTTGATAGAAAGATTAAAGAGTAAAATGTAGACCAGTGGATACCATCTCAGTGGTTTGAAGGTTAAACACTTGCCATGGAGCCTTAAAGTGCTGAATTCGACTCTTGAGGATCGGAAGGTAGTGGATGAGCACTTCCACGATAAAAGATCTCTTTATTCCTTCCTTAATTTTTAATGGTTATCTGACTAAAGTCAGTTATTAATGTAAAACTATGAAATTTATTAGTCTTCACAACCCTTTTCGTCAATAAGATGTAAACTTTCATCTTTGATTGAGTTAACTTTGTATTTGATCATAGATTTTCTTGTCAAATCTATACTTAATGAAAAACATTTTTTATTAGATGTAACTAACTTTTCTCATATGCTTTCAAAGAGGAAATAATTATAAATTTAAAATTCTTAGGATATTATTAGGAAAATATTTTCTGATATCTTTTAATATTATATATCTAGAAATATCTGACATTAATTTTATTCGAGAGTTAAAAGTATTTCCAACAGTTGAGATCATGAGTCAATTGAATCTAGACCACCATGGAAAACCTGGAAGCACTGGATGACCGTTTCGTCATATTATGGGACTCCTCAGCAGTGCACATCCACGACCCCGCCTCACGGGATTCGAACCCAGGACCTACCAGTCTCGCGCCTGGCTTCAAGAGGTATATCCTGGGATTCTAGTGAGAAGCAGTGATCAGTGGAGTTCAACCGGGTCAGTTGTGAGATAGTAACTCACTGATGACAATGGTGGATGTGTCACTCAATTTCGTGGATTAGTTGAAGTTAGACATTAACACCGTTGGATGTCAGCTGGCTCAGTGGTCTAGTTGGTTAAGCGCATGGCGCGAGACCGATAGGTCCTGGGTTTGAATCTCGCGAGGCGGGGTCGTGAATGAGCACTGATGAGGAGTACCACAATAGGACGAAACGGCCGTCCACTGCTTCCAGGTTTTCCATAATGGTCTAGGTTCAATTGGCATATAATCTCAACTGCTGAAATTACTACAATCTCCACAAAACCCGTTCTGATACGAGTTAAAAGTATGTCGATTAACTTTCTTGTTGTTAAAATATTAGTGTCATACTTATCAAAGCTGAACTAAACATATACTGAAAACAAAACAAAAAATGGAATATTGTTTCATAATTAGTTCTCCTTACAATATCAACAAGATATGATATTTTTGGTGAAAATGTTCTTTTAAAAAAAGCTGAAAGTCTTATCTAAGTTATTTTACAAGCACAGTATGTCAGATTTTTAATCCGATGAAATATCTTGTTTTTATGATTAGAAAAACTTTTTTTTAGTCATAAATATTTTTTAGAAAATAATTTAGAAGGTCTGTGGAATTTATATATCAAGGACCATTTATATACACTCCTTGTTTTTGAATATAAACTACAAAAAAAGAACAACCAACCACGTTTCATAAGATAAATGATGTATTTTATAAATATGTAAATATATATAATAAAATGCTTGTAATAAATACACTACATTTTATACTGATTGATTACATTCAACCTTATGAGAGTGAAGCTACTGAAACATAGGAGGAATGTCATTTACAGTATTATTGAGAAGTGGGGGATAGGATAAATGTCTATGAATTTGTAACACATCTACTTCTTAATGTTCAATATGTGTGTAATATCCAGCATTTTTTCGTTCATTTAATCAATGGATACAATTTATAAGAACTTAGTTTTTCAGTGTCGATTTCATTTCAATCTCTAACTTCCATTTGATTTGTTTTTTTAGACATTCAAGTCTCTTCATTCGTAGTAAAATGTCAATCCTGTGGTTGATATTTTCATCCTTCAGGTATTTTAAAAATAAAGCGTGACCGTTATCTAATTTTATTGTCTTGTACTTGATATTGTTGCTTTGCATCAAAACTTCGAATGATTTATCTTATAGCTAATTATGAATAAGCACTGGTTACTATCAGGATGAGTGATTTGCGAAAATTACTTCACTTGAGGCATATTTCCCAAAATGGACTTATAAATTCTGTGTTCATCAGTATTTCTGCACTCCTTCTGTTGTGTGGAAACATGAAATAATATACTCTGTTTGGAAAAGTTAGAAAACATTTTTTTCATTTGTACAACTGTTTTAAAAGGTAATTTACTGATATTTCTTGGCAGCAAAATCAAAGATTTCAGTAGAATATCATGACTTCGTCTTGTTCAGATCAAATCTCTGTATTTATTCTCTTCAAGAAATTTTTCATTAATTTTTCTTTTAATCCTTAATACTACTAATTTTTTCGTAAATCTTATAAGCTAAGCGATTAAACATAGTTTTTCATGTGTTTAGGGTATTGCGAAGCGATCGATCTATGTGACAAATATTGTAACAAAGTTGGAACCAGGAAATGTGATATTGTGCAAGACAGATATTTCTGTGTTTGTCGCGTAAGTTACTGCTAATATTAATTGAACATATAAACATCAGTACAAATGGGCACTAAAATATAAATGCGCAACATAATAAAAATGAGATTGTGAAGAGATAGAGAAGGGATGGTGAGTATAATTTTAAAAAAGGAACAAAAATGAACGGAAATGAGTGTATGAGAGTAAAATAATAGTAAAACGATAATGATGATAAGTGGAGAAGCAGTTCTATTAAGAATACAACCAGAAAAGATTCTTTTACTTAAAGAAGTTACTTTCACTTGTATGAAGAAAGAAAAAGAAAATTACAGCAGGATCTCCACTGGCTTCTATCCCGAGCCATATCTGAAGTCTAAGTTATTTATTTATAAAGAAAAATCCCTGCTATTTAAAGGTTATTAGAGTTATTACAACGTTAAAGTGAATATCGAGATAATGTATTCATATGTAATGTAAATTGGATATAATAGCGAAATCATTACACTGTAATTTTATAGCCAGTTGCATTTTTTGTAAATTTGTTTGTTTGTATCATGTGAAGCTTCTCTTTAAAGTCGATGATGATTACTACACAATAGGGGATTATGTCAACTTTTCATTTTAATACTTGAAAGGAAAGAAGTGAACATTTATAACTCTACAAAATCGTAAGTGTTTGAGAGAACGCAACTGTAATATCGAATAGTTAAAAGTAATTATCAGGAAGCCCTGTTTAAAATACATTCCCTGTTAGATGAAACTCTTCACCAAGGCGTGTCGTGAGTCTCAGTATATTCGCTCGTGAATATTACGGTAGATTACAAAGTTGTTTCTCGATGAACAAGATATACAATACCATTTTGATGATTAGATTGTTTCACAACTTATTAACGACCAAAATTATACCAAATTTATGTACGGCATTTTGACCTACTTATATAAGCGTTCAGTAGTTCATTTGTATGTTGTGAACACTACGGAAAATAATAACTAAATTCAGATCATTATGATTTATTGTGAGATATCCACTTTAAATTATGTGTATTAAAAGAAACACATGAAGTTAAAGCTTATGGATGATAAAATTAGCTGTAAAAATCATGCTTTCAAAGGTATCTTGTAGAGGTGCTCGGTATTCATAGAACAGATAAAAAGCATACATATATAAATGAATCGCTTTATACACAAAATATGGAAACATTTTTTTAATTGTTTAAGATTTGAATGGTTAAATTTTAGAACAAATAGCTAAGAGTACACTTTGTGTGAATGAGAAGTGTTATCCCATCTAATAAATCATTTGTTTTTAGACTTCCACTATTAACTATGATGAATCTATAACTGAACACTATATGTTGTAAAATTTTATGTATTAATCTCTAGCTGAAAATGATGTCTAAAAACAGGAAACTTCCATTTTCATTTTAGTGGACATAGATTTAAAGTTTATGTTTCATGTGATTGCGATTTATTGACAATATTTTTGTTGAGAAACAACAAATTAATTCACCGTCTAAGAAAGGTCGACATTGATTATATCGATAGAAACTAGGATATATATATATTAGTCAGTAGTTTGGTAACTGTCCCCTATCCCAAAATCAAGCATAAATTAAATTGAATTCCTTTTATAATTTACATTTACATACAGTCCATTATATTTTGACTTTGTTTACTTAGGGATTGTAAATGATCAGTAGTACGGTAAATAGATTTTCTCATATTCATTACAATAATGAAAAAAAGGGATATGCAGTTAGCTTGAACATTAACTTATATTGTAAAATAAAATAGGAGAGAATCACGTTTTATAAAAAAGTACATTAGTAAATATGATTACATTAAGGAACCACAACTAAATCACATGAGTATAACCTTTCGTACTAATTATCTATTCTTTAGAGCCTACAAATATATTAACTTGGATAATATGATAAAATGTGATGTAAATTCAGAATTTTTTTCACAAATTAACATCATGCGAAACACTCATGGAATATGTAAACTACTGAATATCTATTTCATCCCCGGTTTAGAGAGCACTTAATGTATTATATGGGATTAAAGAAACGATGTCTAAAACTTATGGCCTTCATTTTATTTTTTCCAGCGCTCATGTTCCAATTCAGCAATTTTCATTTTCAGATTTTATTTCAGCACCATTATAACGCAACTAATATGGATGATTATTTTTAGATATCCGTATAACTCCTGACCCATTTGATACTATTATTCACTCTCTCTCTCGCTGAAAAATTCAGGTATTCATTCTGAGGAATTGTTACTAAACACTATACTCTTTATACATAGTTTCAGTATGGGTGAGCTTTAGGAGTACGAAAAAGCTAAAATTTCACAAACCTTGTCAGGTTTCTATGAATGAGTGAGCTTTTTTCGATCAAATAAACCTGTGTTGACAAGGTATCCAAGTAATTAGCTTCTTACAGATCTACTGATGCCTATTTTCAAACTTGCAGGATAATTTATACAAACTCTCTTGGATAGCACACCCATTTAACAACCGATATACCCAATTCTACAGCAGGAGGTGAACTAATCAATGTATACTGAAGCTCCTAGATGCGAAATCTAAGTTATTGTTAAGCTTAGGTATAATACAAAACACTAATCTCAAAGTTTATACGAAGAAAGTCCTCTTGAGGAGATCTGAAATTCTTTTCTTTAAGTTGTCCTCAGTTATGTTACGCTAGAAATCGAAGTTCAGGTAAAGTTTTCTCTTTGTCGTTGAGGTTGGTTTGAAACTTATATTCTTACCAATGAATTTTGGCGGATATTCACTTGGAGTCAGTATTTTTCTCAGGAGAGTTAACTCAACACTGATAGCGTCACAGGGAAAAAGTTCCTCAGATTCGCGTTATTTAAGATACGAAATCTTTCTCCCTACGAACAGCGACTCAAGTATAGAAGCTTGGGATCTGTTAACTACATGAAGGTAGATAGATCTTAGGAGTCTATCAGGTTTGTCATTTTAACAACAAGGAAGATGGCGTTTAGTCTGTTATCCACTATTAGAGTACGTTTTACTGTAAGGTGGGCATTGTTGAAAATCTGCAGACTTTGATTCATATCGCATTTTTTATCATCCATATAAAATTTATCATCTCCATTGTTTGCAATTAGTATTACGGTTGGTCTAATCATAAGCGTAACATCTCCAATGATGTTGAATAGTGATAATAAATGAACTACTGAATTCATATTAACAATACCATATACATCGTCTCGTTAAAAACCTGATTTTTGATTCAGCATTTAACTTCCCATCAATTATTTTGTATTTGTATTAAAAAACTCATATCCTAGAATTTTAAAATTTTTTCTTTTCTAGCCTACTCATATGGGTTTAAACTGCGACTACCAACGTGATCCATGTGTGGAACTAGCTTCTAATGTTCATATGGGAGGAAATATGGCATGTAACGTTGCAAATGGTGGTATATGCAGAGGAACTTTAGGGACAAACACATATCATTGCCAGTTAGTTCAATCAAATTCATGGGTTTTTATTTATTTATGTAAGGAGCAGTTTTACTGTTGACTGTTCCAGACAATTCAATGATGCGTAATCTAACTAAAAACTTACAGTTCTACAGAATACATAGAAAGACAACCAAAGTCAAACTGAAAGATTGTGGATATATGGCAAAGAATGTAATTTTACGACTGAGTGGACTAAGATTACTACTATATTATGACGGTTTTTTACAGCTATATTTCGTCATGAATTAAACAATTTTGTAGTTCACAACACAGCGTAACAAATTTTTGGCAAAAATGGTACATGTAACTTCCGGAAATGAATCCTTCAATGAGGATTCATGATCGTTGATAACCTTCTTGGTCCTAACGGATTTAAATATCTGAAGACTTTCAGTCAAATATTCTGTTCACTTCTCAGCACACTATTCTTATGACGTTTCTATATCCTGTAGATAGCCAACCTAGTAGCTTGATGTTCGTCTACGATTATATACACAGTTACTTCCGACCATCATTGTTTTTTTATTTGTTTATATTACGGGTACAATGTTTGGAAGAGCATGGTATCAGCAACGTTTAATCCTGCTGTACCAAGTTATTTCGAAAATATGATCATATCATTTTTAGGATTATCAGTAGATGTATATGATTGATTTATTGCCATATGCACGAGGAAATATATATTAATGGGCTTTTAAACAGTTAGTGCTACCGAATGGGATATTTCCATATGAAAACCAAAGTTTTTAGTAACATAATTTGTTATTCGAGCATCCCCGGTTTTTTATTGTGATTTTTTTCAAATTTTTTAATTGAAGAATAAAATCAGATACCGCTACGACAGGAAAAAATGAGAAGTCATTGGTTGTATCATGACCTTGACCTCGATCCTTGATGAATCTCTTATTATATGTTGATTGATTTATAGCCATACTGAACGCTAAATTTCTGTCAAACTATTCGTTCTAATATCGATGAATATTCGTATAAGCCATACTAATTTGTGTGAGTATTATGTACCTATAAGGCCACTCTAATTCTCAATTTCTGTATTCCGTCCGTGTTTATAATTTTAATAACCAATGGGTTGGGATTCAGTGGACAGTCCTATGAGTGGATTATCAGATCACCTTTAATCACCGAATCGGTTGTTTCTTGAAGTTAGTTTCTCTGATTCCACAGAAAGTTAGGTCTTGAAGCGATACCAGTTTCAGTGTTTATTCAAAGTCCCTTGATTAGTTGTTGATTATTTCATAAATTTCATGTAACTCTTGTCATTGATTCGAAAAAAATTTACGTTTATGCATTAATCATAATGCAATAATTTTATTTATGTGCATCATTTTAAAACAGTATAGCCAGCTATAAGAAATGCAGAACCTGGTAGATTTGCACATCACCTCAAGTTCCTATAACAGTAGATGAATAAACTTAGGGAAAAATATCATAACGTAACTCTAAAAGTTGACAGAGTCGATGTATCTGCGACATTATGGTTTGAAAAAAACGTAAGTCATAGATAAAAAATTTCAGAAAAGCAAAAATTTCCATTTCGAGAGAGACAAATAGAGGGAACTATATCTTTCCAATTATTTTATCATTATAGCTCTATACTAATATATATTTAACTGTAACAGTAAAATGTATACCACTCAGATGATGGTGCATCATATAATATTAAAACGTTCCTTGTTGAGTTAACTATGATGTCGGGGTAGAGTTGGTTTTTTCCAGGCTTAATTGTTTATGGACGAAATTTTCGAAGTGAGTGTAAGCCAACATTATTAATACACTGTTCTTTAAAATACTCAGAACCTGAACAATCGCAATTGAGTACATTAAGTTGTTTCATACTACATTGAATTACTTATATGATGAATTTATATTCATACACACTAAAGTACTAAGTCATAACTGTTTTTCCAGGTGTCCAGGATCATTTGCCAGTGATCCATCTTATCCTTTCCCAAATTGTTTACAAATTAAAGATCGATGTGCCAGTACAATATGCATTCATGGTGATTGTGTTAGTTCAAAAGATGGACAAGTAAGAAAATAAAAACATTATTTATTATTCATGGATTATAGCTGTCAGATTGTGGATGCGTAATAAGGCGAAAGTCAGGAGTGGTTTCTGTATTCAGTCACCGATAATCAGCAGCTGGACGACAATCATTGTTGGCATTTTTAGGGCTAGATTAAGGGAAATGATCATGGGCTGTTTGGTGGCTGGAAGCTTTGTTGACTTTAATAAATATTCTTAAAAGTGTTTACATTAATCCACCTGTATACGTAAGGAGTGTAGTATTGTTTGTGCAACATAAATGACTTGATAAATTTACTGTTTGATTTAGAGCAATTAGTCCCTTCAGTAGATTTGGATAGTGTAATAAGAAGACGAATGTTATCAATTTTCAGAATATTGATATAACGGCAGGATGAAAATACTTTCTCTTTTCCACGTTGTACTACTATTGTAAGGTGATACAACTGGTAGTTTAATTTTTGCTACTAGAGAAGAAACTCGGTAGATAAGATACACACAGACTGATTCATGTTATACCATATTTCAATATACTATTAACAATGGGAAAGTGGAGCATATGTTAGATAATACTTAATTTAACGAAACTGCCAGGAATTACACTCACTGAGTACGGAGTAGAAGTATGATGTATTCCAGTAAAAAAGCCCATTCAGGATATAACGATACGCACATTTATTAATTATATACTAAAAAGATTAACACTGCAAACCTAAGTATCTGTTTATGAGAAAAGTAAAACGCAAAAAATAAGACAGCGAATTGGCATATTAAATAACAAAATGATAACAGTTGTTATGAAATGAATATTACTTTTAAGCTCCTTCTGAGATAGCAACCGCAAATGAATTCGCCTGATTGCTAAGGTTCCTCTGTACGTAGTGCCAGCAACGGGATAGTGAGAGAGATTAAACCCGATAGTATTATTTGATAATCATCCGGGCCAAAACTCAAACGTGGTGTAGGATGGCCTAAAAGGATGTTATAACACTACTACAATCTCCAGTCACAGGCCGTGGACAATAAAGTAGAACAGTCGACAGATATGGTGTTTATTTTCCAATAACTGCGGTAATGTATGTGTATCATTACGACAAAACAATGTATATCCCCTTTTAACCACTGATACAGAGAAAAAATAGGTATTGAATATAAATGTGATTAAAAATAATTGTGGTTTTTATTTTGTCGCTACAAAAATTATTAAATATACATGTCATCATAGAAGTTGATAATAGGAAAGGAAATCATATATTTGATAGCCGATAAGCTGCGTCTGTCAGTTCGAGCACAATGCCCATCCACATTTACTTTCATTAGCCACACAATAAATATGTGCTAAACGTGTTAAATGTTTTTGCTGAAAATGTATTTAATTGTATATTTCCATTCAAAATCATGAATTTGAAATCCACTTGAAACATTATTCCTCTTAACAACGCATATATCCTGTTGCAAAGTCCCAAATACCAATGTACTTAGATTCACACTTTGCTATTGATTACTTATAATAGTTGAGCACCAGAAAGATGATGTACCATAGGGTCAAAGAACATCATTATGCTTGGGGTAAGAGACTGTTATTTTCTAATGATCGTTATAGGAATCCAGTTTCGCGAAAGAAGCCATCTGGATCAACTCCAGAAGACCAAATTTATTTATCCAGAAAAGACATATCCAGCCTCTTCGTTTACCTTGGCCTACGACTGGATCACCGAATACCTAGACTGAACATTATAAACCTCTTACCCCCTTTCTTTATTTTTATTTATTTAATTCCTTTTCCCTTATTATCATTATTTTTTATTATCTCTATCTTAATCTTCACATCCATCATTCCCAATTCGTTTATCGTAATTACCTTGATAACACCCTCCTTATTACATATATTCACACAACAATCTTATTATTATTATCTCAACTGACAAGATTAAATTCTCTTACTATTCCTTTTCAGTCACAAATTTTTTTGCATTTTCAATTTTGCTATAATACTATTATACTTATTATTACTGAACATTTTACTCCAAATCATCCTGACCTTTATTGAATGACCTTTCTAATTTGCGAATAATACAATTTTGAAGTATATACATATATCACAGATTGAAATCATGAGTCAGTTGAAGCTAGACCACCATTGAAAACCTGGAAGCACTGGACGGCCGTTTCGTCCTAGTATGGGACTCCTCAGCAGTGCGCATCCACGACCCCGCACCACGCGGGGCTCGAACCCAGGACCTACTGGCTTCGCGCGCGAGCGCTTAACCACAAGACCACTGAGTCAGCCGGCATCCGACGGTGTTAATGTCTAACTTCAACTAATCCACGAAATTGAGCGACACATCCACCATTGTCATCAGTTACTATCTCACAACTGACCCGGTTGAACTCCACTGATCACTGCTTCTCACTAGAACTCCAGGATATACCCCTTGAAGCCAGTCACTAGTTAGCATATTTTGAAAGTTTAAGAATTATTGTCCATTTTTCTTCCATACAATGTAATCTTTATACATAATTAAAGCATTTTTCTGAATCTGCACATTAGTTGATTCTTAACTGCTGCTGTAATTTCTGATAACCGGATAAAGGATCAGAAATGGTTCCTCTTAACAAGAAATGATTGTTATGTCCGTAGTTTATACGATTATCGCGAAATACGATTGCCAATTTAGATACGCTGACTTATACGACTAAACTAATGACGCATACACCAGTACGGGGAGCCTAGAGTCCCGATTGGTCGTTTTCCCGTCTAGCCCTGCATGTTACGTCCAGAACTCCAATCTCATCCTTCGCGATACGAATCATATATTTCAAACATACTGGGTTTATATACAAACAAATCAGACCACATCACACCGTAAGACAGAAAATAACATTTGTACAGGGTCAAGCCAAAAATGGATGTGATTGCGAGAAACTGTCACTAATAGATTGGGAATAACTCGAGAATAGTGAATCATATAACAATAACCAATAGGTCAAATAAAAGCTTATAATGAAAAGAATCTGCATATACATATAATAATAAGAATAAATGTATAATATCAGTCCATAAGTAATTCCTAACGCTTATCATTCATTTATTCTTCGTTAGGATATAACAGATTATATGAATAAAATGAATAATATCCTAAGTGAAAAATTAAAATTTCGTAAATTAACTAACCTGATAAAATGAAGAACGATCTTACCATATTTTTGAAGAAGCTCACTAGTCAAAAAATACTTTTATCAAATTTATACGGAACAATAAAGCTTATGAAGTCTTCTACTCAAAGTACATAAATCGCGTGCTTTATCTAAGTCAGTTCTAGGTGTTCATAACTCGACAGAAACGAGTCCGCAAGCAGCTTATAAGTTGTAGTGTTGACCATTTGGAGACTCAGAATATTTAACTAAGTTCATATGTGAGGATTAAAATGGAAATATAATATCCTGCTTAGATATTGCACGTGCAAAGAGAGTAGATAAGATTATTGCAAAGTAAATTGAACTAGGAAAGTACCTGGACAGGCCAACATACAAACCTTCTTAGTTCCGTTCTTCTACAAAAGATAGAGACGATAGCTACTGGGATAAAATTTCGCAGCTTTGTTTCTAGAAGAAATGTGTCCAACCGCTTCTTTTATCTTAAGGGCCAATAATTTAATAACCATCTTAATGTATACACAGCCTTCCCTTGTTGCTTTCATAAATTTTGTACGAATTAAATATTATTATCATTATTCACGTACCTTAGTATTACTATCATTGTGAATCTTATAAACAGATGACAAATTCAACTAAAACTCTACTACATTATTTCTTGCTCAGTTAATGACATTCCATACACTGTGTAACCTTCGACCAGACAGTTGATCTCAATTTTAATTACGTTATAATTCCTACCACTCTATTTTCTCTACCTTGTAGTGTCGGTTACTACCTGAATCCCATTTAAGTTATTCTAGCTTCTGGACAGGCCAGTTAGTCCATTCTTCTTGAGTCACGTTTTGACCTTGTTAATTAATCATTTATCAACCCTGGCTGATTTTATATGAGTGTATGTGTATACACTTCTTATCCTATTCATCACATGTCTCTGACTTATTTTTATCTGGCTATAAATATTGAGTTGGCTCATACGCCTTCACTGCACGTCATTCCTCTTCGCTCTATTGTCTGGATCGACGACTACATGAAATATACGTATTCGAAGTTAATTCTCGTATTTGACTTATTGAATTTCGTTATTCACTAGCGCGATTTAAGTAGATAATTACATACGAGAATAGTTAGGATGTATGTTTCGACAGCAGTTATTTGATAGCAATCAGAAATTATCCAAATGAAGTCAGATCCCGGGCCATTAAAATATTTCATTGAAATCATGAACCGACTTAAGTTAGAACAGAACTGGGAGAACTGAATTTCTGTCTTGTCCCAGTAAGGGACTACTCATAAGTGTGCATCCACAGCCTACGGTTTCGCGCTCGAACGCTTAACCTCCAGACCAATGAGACGGGATTCCATGGTCTAGCTCCAATCAATCAGAGGAATTACGCGACCACCTTCCATTATCTTCGTTGAGTAACTGCGTCACATCCGACACAGTTTGGCTTCATTGGTTACGGCTTCTTGCTAGAAATGAGGAAATTTCGTCTCGAAGGTCACTAATGAGCACATGTAATTGACAGCATGAGGTTTCGGAGATTGTTTAAATATTTATTCCGATTACTACTCCCCCATATCCAACTAGCTTACAAACGTATTCAAGCTAACATTCTACATTAATCATTTCAATATTAATGATTTCATTTTGCCTTACCAATAATCTCAAATTCATATCCTGCTATGCAGTACTGTAGGACCTAAGCTGAAGTTAGATTAGTTCATGATTTTATAGGAATTCAACAATCCTCACAACACCATACTAACAAAAAGAACATTATTCGTTCATATATCTGTTTCAGATACGATGGGAATTTTCAAACAATTAATAGTAAATATTGATCATAGATAAAGAAAGAACCCATGGATTTCAATCAAAATGTAGTTTATGGCTAGTTTCTTGAATGGACTGATTTATTTACCACTTAATCGATCTTATGACCTTTTACCCAATTCATATCATTGTGTAATCTGTGATTGATTATCTAATCTGATTGTTACTTACACCATTGTTCTTCTTATCCTACGTTATTCATAATTATTTCGGTTACTATTCTTTCAATATCAACTGACCTAGTTTATTCACCTGAACATTCAAAAATCCTAGCTAAAAGAGTTATTCAAATCATAATCCTGAATTCATATCTCGTATTTCCCTTATATTTAATTACTAATTTTCATCTTTAGTTTGAACTGATAACTGTGTTCTTCTTTGCTAAGAACTTCATCCTGACTGACTGATTGCATGTAAAGATAATAACAACCAATTTCCATAAAAATGTATAGGAAAATAATTTTCGTTTATATTTATTAATAGAACAGTTCATTAATAACTGTGTGGAATAATAGGTGGCTTAAGAGAAACTGGGAATTTTAATATGTTCAAGACATGGCACTTGTCCATATCATCACTTATATTGGTGGGAATCATGTAAGGACTTCTGGTCGGATGTTTTACGTTAGAAATCGATATTTGAAGAGTTCACCAATAATGAAGGTAAGTTCCCTTTTCACTATGTGGTAACTAGAGTACACCTTATAGTTTTATTTCCATTATTTTTTTCCAATTATCACTCTTGACACAGTTTTAGGTATTTTCTCCACTGAAAGTGTAATGTATAAACTGACCCTGTGATTTATGCTATTTACGTCGACAGACATAAGTAGTATGTAACAGCGATCAGAAGTGGAATGCCTGTCAAAAGAAAGTTGAGAAGAATGGACTAAAGAAAACAGGAAGGGGAATATAAAGGTATTGAGAATTGGAAGAATGATGAAGAGCAATTGATGGAAGGTTTTCTAATGAAGTATTTAATGTATGGTTTTCACATTTTGCAAAAGTACCCTGTAATTTTGTACTAAACAATAGATTGGTTGTCCTCACCTGAACGTTCGTTCACTACGACTCATCTTTGTAAGTTATAAAATTTTAACAGAAACTGATAAAATATTTTTTAAAAATCAGACTTATCGTTTTATTTCTCTGGTACATTAATGTTCATAAGGGCATGAAAATTTCGAAAATAACCCAAATGACTAAACTGTTAGATAACAGAAATTATTAAGAAATGCAGTCATAGTAAACAAAATGTCATTCAAAAAAATCACACACAAGGGGGAAACAGTACTAAAAAATATTTAACATCGTGATATGAAGTAAATAAGACTGAACAGTATAATAACAACTAGCTCCATTTAATTAATCCTAAACTAGCAAACATTTTATTAAGTTTTGCTAATGCATATCTTAAAGATCGTTTAGGTCCAGCGGAAACTAAACCTAAACCAGTTTGATATAGACTAGACTTTCTGACTATATTAGATAAAGTATTTTGTAACCGTTTATTTCTATCTGTATGCGATAAATTTGATAAAAATGTTCGAGCATCATTGGGATTATGATTCCAAGTCTCTTGAACAGAAAGTAAACATATGTGATCGGGAATATTTTTCAGAAGTTGAAAAATATTTTCAGATTCATTGTTACATGGCTTAAACCAATGCAACTCATTTTTACAGAGATTAGATTTTGAAGATGGTTTAAAAGAAAAACCGTATAGTTGGAGAGAATTCAATGTATTATTATAAAGCGTGCGAAATTCAGATAATCGGCTTTCACCAGACACTAAGCGCCTTACTTTCTGTCGATCTTCACCGATAATCATTCGCCAATCTCCAGTGTAAGATATTGAAGAAATTGTGTAGAATAAGTCATATTCATTCAATGGGAAATTCGTCGGATAATTTTGTAAAATTGAGTAAGATATGGACGCAAGTAGATTCTTGTTTTGTGATACACACAATTTTTCATCATAAACTTGGGGTGAAGAGAGATCAGACCCACTAGGAATCCATAATACAGGCTTTTGTAGGCGTCCAGCTAAGTAGAGATGTGACCAATCACACAAATCGGTGAGTAGATTATCCAATGAAACTACACCATATTTAAACGACAGTTTGGTATTATCAAGTGGATCACTCCATTCAATAAACGGATTGTAATAGACTTTGGGACCGGGAATACGAGAAAGAAACACCTCTAGGCTTGATGACTGGTACTTTTTGGCATAATTCCGGAATAAAAAATTGTAGTGATTAGGATTTTCAGAAATATTTTTCAGATGCCATTCCACAGGATTACGAACAATTATAATTATATCAATAAGTGAATTACTTGATGTTCTGTCCTTCTGTGGAAAAACGACAGATCCATAAGCAAAAGAAGCTACATAGTTTGTTCGATCTGTGTTAAGAGTATCGACAAAACGTTTGAGTTTTCCGGCCAGTCTACTGTTTGTCATTGTTCCTTTTGGAGGGATATTTTTCTAATGCCTACGACAGTTCCGGACTTAATATCTTCAAGGCGTCTCTGACCACGACGTAGTGCTGCCTCTATACCAAAAATATCAGTCTTTTTGTAGGCACTTGCTTGAGATCGAAACTCAGAACGGATAAACTCTTTGAGTTGATCAAAGTTGGAACCGTTATTTACATTGCTAGTACCATTTTCTAACTTGGACTTGAACTGCAACAAATCAACAGTTCGTAGGAAATTTCGATACAAACGAAGAACTTCTAGTTGAAGTCTGCTATGACCAGAATTCATAAAACTAAAAAAAATCAAAGTGTTTGAACAAACGTATTAGATAACCTTAATTCCAACCTTGACATTAGACAACATGAATCACGTAAATTATATCGAATTTACCAACTAATTTGTCCCAATGATGGTGTTATATAACACTGAGTAGAGAGCTGCTGGGGAACAGCAGAGTAAGCTGTCTGGTAGCTTGTGGTGACAGATTTAACAGAAATGTAATACCACTGCAACTAAAATGATGCTACACAATTATACATATTAGGCATTACAAGCGTTTTAAGCTACACTCAGTCAGCCACAACGTAGGACTAGGCACATATATGTATCGGTTCAAGTTGCCACACCTCATAAGCACAACAACATGATCACCAAATTCATAAAGGTAGTTACTTCAATGGTAGTAATATATAAAAGAAAGATTGTGTATAAGGATATAGTACAAGAAAAAAGAATTAGTTCTTGAAAAGAAAGATATAAGGTAATTTTAATCTCAGTTTAATGAAAGACAAAGAGTGTATACACCTACGCCACTGTGATCGATTCTCAGCCATGTCACCCGGAGTCTCCAACCATTGGTTATGATAGTCACGCGGACCCCAACCAAATATTCTGCATCTACCAACATGGCTCACGCCAGAGGTTAGTGACTTCAAGGACTGATGCCACCTCTCCGTTTGTTAGCCCTTAACTTTCTTCCATCCGTCTCCAGAACTAGTTGGTATTGCGTGCCGTGGTAATCGCTGTTCAGGAATACGTAACACGTTACCCAACCATCTCAGTCGATATAGATTCACAACCTCACCAACTTATTAACCATCATTCCCTGATATCCTGGATATAACCTCACTATTACTGACCGGTGACCCCAGCAATATTTCTGAGGCATCTGTGGTCAAATACTAGTAACTTACGAACATATACTTTTAATAGCCACGTTTCGCAGCCGTAAAACAGAACGGAACGAACTGCTGTGCAGTATACTTGTCTATTAATTGATAGACGGATATATCGCTTTCGCCATAGATGACGTAAGTAGACAAAAGCCAAACGAGAATTCCCCAACCGTTGCTGCTACCTTGACGTAGTGATCAGGTTTGCCTATCGGGATGAACCAATCGAGTTATACTGGCTGGGACAATCGTTCCTCAAGGTTTTACCATGCCAGGCAGATCTGTTGAACAACAGTAAGACTAAAAGTAGCAAACCCAGAGTACGGACCAGCTGCTCTTCCTCATTTCAGATTAGCTATAACCTTTTGAACGTCTGCTAGAGTCGGGGGACCTACTTTAATGTTCCATTCAGGCTGTTTGGGAATGATGGGTAGTTGTAGAGTAGCTGAAGGTCAACCGAACTGCTCCTTAAAGTGTTCCTTCCATCATGAACGGCGGCCTGCTTGAATATCTGGGCTACCTGTTCCACCGATCTAGATATTTCATCAAGTTATCTGTTTTGTTGTTTGTTTTAGCACATCACTATGTCTATTGTGCGCACAACCTATTCAGGCGCGTTTATGAAAAGTTTACAACCTTTCGCTATACGGGATACAAGAAGGTACAATCAGAGACATCATGGTTGCTGGCAATATGCATTGAAACAAATGAACAGTAATCAAATGTGGATTACCAAACTTCTAACATCTAACTGGTCATCATTCAAAATTTATCGTCAAAATCGATCAAGGTATAAGACAAGGAAACTTGTTGAAATATTTTATGCTGAGAATTTTATGTTGTACCAAAAATATAATGTTGAATAAAGCTTCTAATAAGAATAATAATAATAATTCTAAACGTCTGGACTGAGAGCGGGTAAGTGTTGTCTTTTTTCAAGATCGTCTCACTTACACTTGACTTATTAATTCCAGTTTCTTTTATTAGTCTGAAAAGCTGTATGGTGTTACAACTCTCTTGCTTTCGTTACCCACCACTGCTTACGGTCGTTCCTTAGACTTTTGGTTAACCTAGATCTGATTTGTTTTCGCTCTTCATTGTATTCAGAACCTGATGGGATAAGTTTACGATAATCTATCAGCGCAATAGACTTTGTAGGAATCTATTGGTTTTTCGTAATTATTTGGTTCAAATCACTGTCCGTATATCTTTCCAAGCAACATCTAAGACAGCCTCGTTTCCAGAACTTTCTAAGTGTGACCTCAGTTGTTCCTGAAATCCACTTTTGGCTTACTCGTCGCTGACTTCAACTCTAATGGGTCTTCCTAATGTGGTTTTTCTGCGTCCAGCGAGGCGCAAGCAAATGCGTGCTCGGAGTTCAGACAGGTACTCCAGAACGAGCGAGTCTTCTACCAAGCCTCTCCAACGATCATTGGTGGCAATATGGTCTATTTGAGTCCATCGTTGGTTTGGTGCAAGGGGTTGCCATGTTAGACGATGTCTCTCCTTATGCTTGAAATTGGTGCTAGCTAGAAAAAACGGTTGTCTGAGCACAGTTGCAGCAGATTATCACCATTATCTGTTCACTGAGCTGGAATACTAAACTATCCACCTAAATGTCTTTCTGTTTGGTTTAAGCTACCCACCTGGGTATTAAAGTCACCTGCTACGAGTACTATGTCTGAGCGTTTAGCTTTCTGAAGAAGTTCAGAAAGCTTTCTGCGAAATTCACTTTTCACTTCATCCAGGCTTCAGTCAGTGAGATCGTAGGCAGAAACGACGAAAAATCAACGACGTGTGTCCTTATCCATCCGAGTTCTTACGGAGCCGTTTAGTCAGACAGTAAATAGGCGACTCATTTTATTAGCGATTGTTCTGCCCTCGTGTTTAATGCTATGCCTACACCTGCCAGTCCACGAGAACCTGCCATCGGGTCGCCAGATACACGAAGAGTGTATCTTGTCGGCTCTACATTTTGGCGAGGTGAGGTCAAATGAACGACCACACTACGATCCTGTATGCGTGTTTCAGAGCCACAGCATACATCAATGGTGCGAGATCTTAAGGTTTTAGCCAAGGAGGCCCGTTGACCAATTTGTCATAGGGTGCGTACATTGAAGGCTCCAATGTGTAGTTTGAAGCAAGGTTTCAGTAGACCTGGGACAGCATTTCGTGCAGTAGAATCGTTGACGATGGTGACGCTTGAGGAGGAAGTCAAAAGAGGAAGTTTAGAGTTGATAGTCAAGGTAGGGGGAATAACAGGAATTGAAGAGGAAAATTGATTATGAATACAGTGGTCTTGAGTGCTGTTAGTGGTATGAGGGCGGTTCTCACTTTTTGGTTGTCCACATCGTGAAAAAGCCCTTCTAGAGGTAGGTACCTGGAAATGAAATTGGGTTAGGAGTGGCCTTAGCGACCTGAGAGCGTGACCGCAATGTCCAAGAGACAACTGCTTGAGGTCGGTCACACACGACCCTTTTGTGAACAATTTTCGTGTTAGCTCCGTACTTGTTGAAACCTTACCGCCGGAGACGGATATCCGTGAGATAAGGCGAGGTGTGCATTTTTAGGGTTGACCTTTTCTAAACACACCCCTCCTTGTGGGAAGGTATCATCGCTGTTATACTGGTTGTCTGAAACACCTTACTGCCGTCACACCTCCGTGCAATCAACAGTACGCCTTCGGATCCTGGGTTTACTGCTTTTAGTCTTACTGTTCTTCAGCCGACCTGTCTGGAATGGTAAGACCTTGACTAACTATTGTTTCAGTCGGTATAGCTCGATTGGTTCATCCCGATAGACGAACCTGATTACTACGTCAAGATAGCAGCAACGGTCGGGATATTAAGGATAACTTGGAATATAATGTGGTATTAACAAAAGGCTACGTGATAGGGTTTAAAAATTCTTATCATGGGGGGGCAAATCATATTTTTTAAACATTATAATCATTAAACGTAGCCGCCAACTAACTTTCCTTGAGTCAGTTATAGAGAATCTGGTAATGTGTGTCTTATGAACCAACACGCTGAAATACCTTTTTCATGACTATTTATCCTTTTCATAGTTAACAAAGAAAACTTAGAATCACGAAACTAACCCGAGCAAATTCGAAAGAACAACGCTTGTCTTTTGCAAAGTTGGTTTCAAGGATCTAAAGAAGTAATTGTGATCCTATCATTGTCATTTTGCACATCCAAAAACTATGAAGGAAGATAAAAGCGAAGTCTCAGATTGCTTGCCTTGTTAGGTGCTAGGGCAAAATAGAGGAAATTCCCAAAAATCTCCCTCTGGAGGAACACTGTTCGGGGATTCACACCAAGTAATCTACTTTCAGCACACATCACCTACTAATCAGTTCACACAAAACTATCCACAACCAGGCCTTACTCCCTCAAGGAAGTCAACTTTTTACGCAATCTGCAGGATTAAGAAATACGGTAGGACTCTAATTTATGGACGAGCCAATCAGAAGCGTTTAAGGAATTTCAAGGTCACGGCGCTAAGTTCAGTGCGAGATGCTCACATTCGATCGTTTTACAGCAGATTTTAGAGAATAGGTGATCGTTGAGAGACTATAGCAGATGGCACTATTAGGAAGTTCCTGTGTCTGTGACTGCGGCAATTAAATGACCGCTGCACGATGTGCAGACTGCCGCGATGACATTGTATTTCGTTGTACTATATGTTGTAGAAAAAAATCTGCTCGAACTGGCACTTTCTTTGCCCGGTCACGGCTAAGGCTAAGACAAACCATGATAATCGTTGCAAATTGGATCATAAAGTCTCCAGTAACATTAGCTGCGGCTATACCGATGATTGGGAAGCGTATAGATGCCTTTCGAGACTTGGTTTTGTGCATCATGTTGTGGTGCACAAACGTCATTTCTTTGATCCAACGATGGGGGGTCCATACAAACAACATTGAGGGCATGTGGTCTAGGCTGAAGTATTTTTTGAGACCCTACCACGGCTCCAGAGGACGATTATTATGGAGTCATATGGACGAGTTCCTATACCGCGTGCACTATGATTTCAAAACTTCTGAACCTATATCAAACCTCAACAAGTTCTTTAATAATGTAAAAAAAGAATATCCATTGTAATTCATCACTTTTTTATAATATATTTTTACTTTATACTAGCTCTCTTCTGATTGGCTAATGTCCTCAAGGTCACTTGAAAATTCGTTCAAAGGTCGTCCATAAAGTAGAGTTTCACCAGAAATACAATACATGTGTTGAAAGAAATTTATGTACAGAAACTCAATCAAATTTTACAAGTATGCCGCAGCGTTGCAAGTTGCATGCACGATTATGGTAAGCAGAAATCCCAAAAAGGAAATTAACCAGTAAATCCATGGTTTATCATGCAATTTGTTAAGAAATGGTGGGATCCAATTACGACCGCAATGACAAAAATAGTTTTCCAACGTATGTCTAGTCGGCCTCCATATTACACATCAAAGTGAAAAAGTTGATGTGCTCACAATAAACAGCTTCATACACATAATTCCCTTTATCATCTTGAATCAAGCGAGAATGAATATTTAGGAAGCATAACATGAATCCATTTTATTTCCTTTGGTTGCCGCTAGCTGCAGCCGCAGTTGTAAACATGTTTACAACTTGTGACACTTAAAAATCATAATTACAAAGCAGGTTTGAATTACTCGCATGGATGAGTTTGGATGGAAGTTACTTTGAAGACACATCAGTATAGCAAAGTAAGGGTGTGAATGAATTTAATAAACTGGATAGTTTTATGTGAGCTGATTAGTAAGAGATGGGTTCAGGAAGCGGGAAATTTTCAAAAAAAAACGTCACAAAAGTTAGCCTGTTTACTAAGAAACACGGATCATAAAGTGGTACTTAACATCAAGACCATGTTTACCTTGAGTGAACATGTAGTGACGCAGAAGGTCACACGACGCGGTTCTAACCTTCATCTATTAAACAAACTCAGATTTCAAACTTAGGTAGTAAGGACAGAAGGCATACAGCCTATGTTATCCCTTTTCTAGTACGCTTCTGTGAGTGTCTATTCTTCTATCAGATGAGTTTTGGACACCACTGCTTCGGGTAACAAGTTCCAAGAATTAATGTCTCGGCGTGGAAACCTGTTTGCCGCGAGTATTTTTGTTCGCTCTTGGCTTTTCCACAAACCCGATAGGTCCTTTGAGATATTCAGATATAGTGGGGATGAAAAAAAGACATATAATAAGTACCAAATCATTTCCTGGTTTTCTACACATTAAAATCAGAACTCCTCTTAATCTAAGGTAGGACAGAGCAAATAGCCTTTCTATCCGCTCTTTGTATGGTAAACCTCGGAGTTCTAGAGTTGCATGGGTAGCTGCCTTTTGTACTTTTCCCAGGATATCCGAGTCACCTTTAAAATAGGGGCTTACAGCCTGGACGCAGTTCTCAAGCTTAGTTCTCACTAAGGTTGTGTATACTGTAGTGAACGTGGTAGTAACTAACTTGGTGAATGTCCATCTTAAAGCTCATAGGGTTCTAAACCTCTTAGCTGCAACCTCCTGGCAGTAAGCCATGGTCTTAAAATTACAACTCACCGTCACCCCATGATTCTTGTGAGACCAGACCACGGGTACAGGCACTTCCCCTATGCTGTACCTATTTACCTTGTATCATCAAGGTGCATGTAGACACAGATTGCTACATTGATAGGCATCCGCCACTCTTTAGACTAGCTAATCACAATATCTAAGTCAGCCTGAAGTGCGCTTGCATATGCGTCTCTCGTTATTTCTCTCCAGATTTTTACATCATCAGCGTATAATAACATTGGGGACTCAACTATACTTGGGAGATCATTTACTTACTTACTTGCTTACGCCTGTTACCCCTAATGGAGCATAGGCCGCCGACCAGCATTCTCCAACCCACTCTGTCCCACTCTGCCTTCTTTTCTAGTTCCATCCAATTCTTGTTCATTTTTCTCATGTCTATTTCCATTTCCCGGCGTAATGTGTTCTTTGGTCTTCCTCTTTTCCTTTGGCCTTGAGGACTCCATGTGAGGGCTTGTTTTGTGACGCAGTTGGGTGCTTCCCTCAATGTGTGTCCTATCCACTCCCAGCGCTTCTTCCTGATTTCTTCCTCCGCTGGGATCTGGTTTGTTCTCTCCCACAGTAGGTTGTTGCAAATAGTGTTTGGCCAATGGATCTGAAGTATTTTGCGTAGACAATTGTTAATAAACACCTGTATTTTCTGGATGATGGCTTTCGTAGTTCTCCAGGTTTCTGCCCCATACAGTAGAACTGTCTTGACATTTGTATTGAAAATCCTGACCTTGGTGTTGGTTGACAGTTGCTTCGAGTTCCAGATGTTCCTCAGTTGTAAATATGCTGCTCTTGCTTTGCCGATCCGCGCCTTCACATCTACATCAGATCCACCCTGTTCATCAATGATGCTGCCCAAATACGTAAAGGACTTTACATCTTCCAAATCTTCTCCGTCAATTGTGGTTGGATTGGTGCATGCTGTGTTGTATCGGAGAATCCTGCTTTTCCCTTTGTGTATATTGAGACCTACTGCTGCTGAGGCTGCTGCTACACTGGTCGTCTTCTCCTGCATTTGTTGTTGCGTTTGGGATAGAAGAGCCAGATCACCTGCGAAGTCTAGATCGCCCAACTGCATCCTAGATGTCCATTGTATCCCGTGTTTCCCTTCAGATGTTGACGTCTTCATGATCCAGTCGATCACCAGGAGAAAGAGAAAGGGTGAGAGTAGGCAACCTTGCCTGACACTGGTCTTTATTTCGAACGACTCTGTCAACTGTCCTCCATGCACAATTTTGCAGTTTAATCCATCATATGAATTCCGTATGATATTGACTATCTTCTGAGGCACGCCGTAGTATCGAAGAAACTTCCATAGTGTTGTTCTGTCCACGCTGTCAAATGCTTTCTCGTAGTCAATGAAGTTGATGTAGAGTGATGAATTCCACTCGATTGATTGTTCCACAATGATCCGTAGAGTTACGATTTGGTCTGTACACGATCTATCCTCACGGAATTTTGCCTGTTGGTCTCGAAGTTGGGCATGTACGGAGTCCGCGACAAAAATACCTTTCGAGAAAACCTTGGATTTGCAACGTTGCAGCCCATCTTTTGCCAGTTTGATCACAGGATTTTTGACTAAATCTGTGGCAGGCTTCTTTCGTCGCATTTAGAGTGCGGAAATATAGTGCTTTCTTCACCAATCCAAAAGGATAATAATGCGCTTGAACGAATTTGAGGACAGGCTACGAAATTACTTCGTGGTTTAAGTTAAATTCCTATGCAGACTGCCGCAATTCATTAAAGTAAAATAATACTAGAAAAGACTTTCTAATGATTTAAGCATTCCAAACACTTCCGGTATAATGTCTGGGGGTGACACACAAAAATTAGATGAAAATTATCGAAATGGAAGGTAGGCACAACTTCTATTACTTGCGAGTAGTCAGATGATGGAATTCATTGGTCCAAGTGACCTCATAGTAATCCTTTCAAAAAGGAACGTGGTATACGCTTAATGATTAAGGACAATATTTCATTATAATTTACCAATATTTATCATAGTAAAATATACGTAAGTTCCTATCTATCAGCATCAGTGATCAACTGCTACTAGGGACTAAAGCCAGTTAACAAAAAGCTTCCTCTGTTTCATCTACAACTGTTGACAAGCAGTCTGTTCCAGGATCGTGATCAATTTGGAGTGTCTGTGGAATTACGGTCTATTACGATATTAGTACTGCTCTAATAATAGACATAATCCTAAAAATGTACATTTGTCATGATGTAACTGACTAATCTATAAGATCTTACGTGGAAGTCACATTATCTACACCATTTCATCGTAAAAATCATCAATATGTGAAGAAGAACACACTAGGCTAGAGATAGAACAATATATTTAATATGTGTAAAACATATGAGGTAACATTCAGCAGGGACTACGCCTGCAGGCCCAGGCCATGCCATCCGATCAACTCGAATTCATTCAATTCCTTTTTCCCGTCTCCCCCATCTCCGGGTTTTTCTCCACGCTAAATATTGAATATCTATTTTCACAATTGTCTCGTGTTCAGCTTTAAGGATTGTGCATTCAGAGCCCAATGCCACTATACGTCCACGGTTATATTCTGCTCTGTAACTTAAGAAAAATGGGGGAATTTCATGTAGAAACTTATCAATAATTAGTTGAAGGATTGAATAAATCACCTGTGGTCCTACTATTTTGCAAACGGAGATGGTTTATTTTGGCCAATCTGTAATCATATGACAGCTTTACGGTTGAGCTTATCTGTAGTTCTTTGGACCTGTTCTTACAGCTCCTTGCCAGGGCTGGTTGTCCGTATACGATGTACTGGTTTAGGGTGGACGAACACTTCGTGGAAAGTCATGAGGGTCTTAGTATCTACTTGGCTAACATTCATGTACATTAAACAGATCATTCGAGAAGTTTTGACAACTATGACTGTAAGATTGTAAGATTGCCACTACAAGATCTTTTTTGAAGGTTTTGTGTATGTAAACATTGGTGATTTTTTTCCTTTTGATTCCTTCAGATGAACATTCTGTTGATCTATTCGATCTAATTTGCCATGGTGCCATTCGTACTTTGTTTCAGGTTTTGTTTTCCTTACGTGTTCAACGAATTTCCATGTTTTATTTCGAACTAAATTTATGTTCTTCTAGTTCATGCAGTCACGGCCGCAGCCATTTTGATTCTCATTCCTTTATGATTGTGCATTTTTTGATTGTGAATTAAAGCACTTCGATAATCGGGAAATCTCCGTGTTGGAATGAAATTAAACGTTATCTTTCGAACGATCTGTACATGATCTATTCAGAAAGGATAGAGCAACATACATCTGTTCCATTCGATTTAACTACTGAGTGAACAGTTATCAGTTGGATAACTGGGTGGTAATATTTGTTTAGAACAGTCATTTACTCAGCCATCTTATTTTCGTTTAAATTGGGTGATAGACTGTATCGAAACTAACCTACACAAATATTCATCAATCAGAACTTAGCTGGTAAGTAAAAATACTATCGTATTGAGAAGAAGATTTCAGTCCTTAACTGGCAACGACCTTCACATCAGTATGTGTCTGAAGGACGGGTAACCCAACGCTATTCGCTTTGTATGTGCTTGTGACAGTATGACTGACAAACACTGTGATGTACTTGGAATAACGAATCATTAAATGCAAACTTCCAAATCATTCGCATAATTTCTGCAGGTTTTTTTAAAGTTTTAAACTATCACCTTCATTTTTTATCGCATTTCATACCATAATATGGTCACCATATAGTGAAACCTGTAATGACACGAGATTAGAAAGGTTTTGGTGGAGTTTTGTTCTCTGAGCTGGATGGTTTTGTCATGGAGCTTACATCGTTCTTCTGAACAACGTCACCAGCACAAACTTCAGATAGAAGTGAAGTGTTCGAATCTCTACACATGTGTTTCGCAGCTTGTTCTGTGCACCTCGATGTTGATTGGTTCTTGTTGACCTTAAATTTAATATTGTTTACTTCTTTGTTTTGGTTGTGTCTCCCATTGGTTTGATTTTTGTTCCTATATTTATGCATGATTTTCCTGATTGGTTGATAAACTGGATTGATTTCAATATGTTTGTTGATTGCTGATTGACCTGAGTGCCAAGCTTCTAGTCTAGACTAGAAGCCACGATATTACCAGTGATCAAGCCAAAAATTTGGATTCGCTACGTAGACGACACCTCTGTCATCGCCAGGAAGGATGAACTGGAAAACACATACAAACTGATCAACAACGTTTTCAACGACATCAAGTTTACAATGGAACAGAAGTCAAACAACCAACTAGCATTCTTGGATATATTGATCACTAGAACCGATACAGAAAAACTGGGAACTCAAGTATATAGGAAACCGACCCATACAGATCAAATCCTCAATTACAACAGCAACAACCCAAGAGCTCGCAAAATCAACTGCGTACACACATTGTTCAAGAGGGCGAGGACACACTGCAGCACACTGGCAGCACGAAAAAATGAAGAGAAATACCTGAAGGACATATTTCAAAAGAACGGCTACCCAATCAACTTCATCAAAAAGCACCAACGGCACACAGCATCAGAACCCAAATCAAGCACAAAAATCAACAAAAGGATCACCCTACCGTACATACAAGGAATATCAGAAACCGCAACGAGACTGCTGAAAACCTTCGGGATAGGTGTGGCACACAAACCAACAAAATCATTACAACCAATCCTATGCAAACCAAAAGATGAAATAACAAAGGAAAACAAATCAAACATAATCTACAAAATAAATTGTACCAACTGCGACAAACACTACATCGGACAAAGCGGACGCCCCCTCCACCTTCGCCTACATGAACATCAATTAGCAGTCAAACGCCATGATATCTCTTCACTTATATCAATACACGTGGATAACTACGGATATTCATTCGATCGGGAAAATGTAGAAATCTTAGACAGAGGAAACTCCAAAAACACCAGAGAATTTTTAGAAGCTTGGCACTCAGGTCAATCAGCAATCAACAAACATATTGAAATCAATCCAGTTTATCAACCAATCAGGAAAATCATGCATAAATATAGGAACAAAAATCAAACCAATGGGAGACACAACCAAAACAAAGAAGTAAACAATATTAAATTTAAGGTCAACAAGAACCAATCAACATCGAGGTGCACAGAACAAGCTGCGAAACACATGTGTAGAGATTCGAACACTTCACTTCTATCTGAAGTTTGTGCTGGTGACGTTGTTCAGAAGAACGATGTAAGCTCCACGACAAAACCATCCAGCTCAGAGAACAAAACTCCACCAAAATCATCCACCTGAGCTACAAATCTTCTCCACGATTAGAAAGGTCTTTTACACACAGTGGGAATAACACTAGTCTCAAAATACTGACATAGGGAAGTCTAAGAAGCACACTGAAAACGCCACAGGTATTTACATTTTGACAGTAATTTAACCAGTAACATCTTTTATAACGAATCGTGTCCACCCAGTGAAATCAAAAGTCAGAAGCGAGGAGGTCCGAAGATATATTTGATAGGCTATCAATATATTGAGAAGCGACTGATCTAAACTGGCTAGCGATTGCAAGAGGTTGAGTATGGCGTTCCCACTCATGGTCTGGTGCGGATGCATGACCGTGCACCTTCAGCTAGGTGAGTCCATCAAAACTAATGTGGTCACCATCCAATGCCAAAGACTTACATAGCTATTTATTTTGGGGATTTATTTACCGCTACACCACATTTTCGTCCTGATAACTTATTCTTTAGTAACGCTCAACAAGGAAAACTTTTGTAGCGGTAAAAGCCCGACAAAGTTCTGTAAGTTTCCGACATTCATGCTAACCTCAACAATGTTACTGAAGGAGTTTGGTCACGTTGTGCCACACATTCGTCACAACAACTGGTCAGCTTAGATTACATGTTTATCGGCATATTGACTATCTTACAGATATATCTTCCGACTTCTTTATTCCTGACTGCCGGTTTGACTGAGTTTGGAATCATCGATCATAAAGTTGTTGAGCACAACTGAGATTAAGTTTTCACGTTTAAGTTACTTGTTCACATCAACGTGCGAATTACTAGAATTCTTTATCGGGACGCGAAATATGTGTACCTCTGATTTGAACGCTAGTACCACCAATAAATCAAGAGATTTAACTTAAGTCGTTTGACCTTCTACTCTTGTTAATGAATACTGAAAGTTTTTCGCGGTTAGTATGTCTCTTATCTCTACTCCAATGATCCTCCGGTGCCTACACAAATGGTGTAGCTCATAATAATGGGTATGCTTCGAGTAAGTAACCTATTTATCTTGTTCTGTGTCCGATTTAAAACCACAAGGACGACATTCTTAACCAGAAGTGTTATCACGGAAAATCTGTGTTGTAATCTCAACCCAATCAAACAAAAAGGGAAATGAAGACAAACTTTAGGGAAAGATAGGTGATCATGTGTCAGTAGTTTAAATAACTTATTTTCGTAAGTTGGAGATGATTCTTTTGGGAAATAGTGCAACCCAATCTCTTTATTTCGGGGAAAATTTTGTCCGTTTCGGGTAAACTTTGGGGAAGCCGCAATATAAAACTTTGGATAAATAGCACAAAACCCCAAAATTTCCCCAGGTTGGAGGAAAACCCTCAAAATGTTTGGGGAACTTTAGGGTTTTCTGGAATATTTCCCCAAAATCCTATAACTGGGGGTTTTCCCTAAAATTTCCTCAAACTATGGAAAACTACCAAACCTTTCACAACTTTGGGGAGAGCCCCAAAATTTGTCCGAAATTCCCCAAATTTTCCTCGAAATAGGGAGATTGAGAATTCTGAGGAAATAAAATGGTGATTCAAGTTGTATTTTTCTTTGTTTGCTCGGGAAGCATTCTTTATTTTCCAAGATGTTGCTGTTTTCTTCCAAAAATCAAAACATCTTTCCATAAACCCGCCTATATTTATATGGGAGGTTTGGGGGAATATTCTCCCTAGATTCTCCACGTCTATGGATTTTCTCCCAACCGTATCACTCTCCAAATTATTATAATAAAGTAATAGAGACTTCCCCCTAGGACTGACGATCAGAAAAAAAACATTGTTTGAAGGTTTGAAAGTTCAGATCAAATCGTTTGCGGCTTGTATTCCACTTTTCTCAATGAGTAGTAAATTATTGGAATTCCCTACCAAACTGCACAACATCGACACTTGTTGATGCATTCAAAATGAGGTCGATCTCCATAGTACTACAGGTCACAAAAATCGACATCAGCCACTCGATCTATCTTTACATCTGAAGTCTCTCAAAAGTATGTTTACTTGCAGGAGTTCGTAATTATGACAAAATTCTGTACAAAACAATGGAGAACCGAAGTAAGCCATTTGTCAACATAATCCCCAGTAGTAATTAGTATCGATCCACGGAGTTCTGTAGTTTAGTTTGTTCAAACAATTGATATCCCACAATATCAAGCCTATTAAGTGAATAGTAACAAAGTTTGCTAGGTGTAATGAGTGTGTGTATCGTAAAGGCTTCTATTTCCTAAAGCTGGTTTTAGTTGAGGACTCATCATAACATTCAAAAACCACTAAGCCATTCTAGAGTATGTCTAATATCGTTTGTGATCGTTATTCGTAAACTTGCATCCTCGTTTTTCTTCAGATTTCGCACTTGTTCACTTTAGCATGTGCTGTTGGAAGAGCCCGTAGTGGTTATACCTATATCCTTGTTTAAATTCTCCTTACACAAGTGAAAGCTCTACACTTTGAGCTTCAAAGAGGCTATGCAGTTGCATTTATGAGTTGTATGATTTCTGTTCATCTTGATGAACTATGGTGTTTACTGTTTTTTTCTAGTGCAGTAGTTTGGAAGAAAACTTGGAGTGGCCGAACCAAAACATAGTATCCGTCCAAGAAATCACTGACAATCGAACTTAAACATGTCAATAGGTATAGGCTACCTGGTTGGGTCTGCGTGGTTATCGTAACCAATGGTCAGAGACTTCGAGTGACATGGCTCCAAATATTATGCCATGGTGCAAGTGCTCTATTCTCTGTCTTTCCCCAAACTCAGATTCTAAATTTTTCACAACCTTTATTTATTTTCATTTCATTAATTTATATCTTCTCGATTCATATCGTCGATGCCTAATCCTTACTGTTACCACAGCCCCCGAATGGCCTGGTAAGGACGAGAGTAGTGAGAGTCAGTTCTCCCTCTCGAAATGCTCTCACATGACCACGTGCATACAACTACTGCCAGGGAAGTCCTACTCTGCCTTCTCGTGGCGGGGCTGTTGCTCACAAAATTGAAAGGACGAAAAGCGAATATCCAGCTCTTTAACCGGATTGGTGGACACGGAGAGTTCACCTAGGGGAGTTGGAAAACCCTGATTCCAAACCAATGGTGCACATGGGCTCCAGTATCCTGAAGGAACAAATGGCGTATGAACCTATTGTTGATCACTGGCTACCATGGGATTGCATCTCCTGACATTGCTCCACTGCCTTGTGAATCAGACCGTTAGGTCGAAGGCTCCGGGTGTGGCCCCCTAAGAGAACCATCCGCTTCGGTTTGGGCACCCGAGCAGTATCACAGCTCTCGCACAAACCAAATGAGATTTATTTGGCGCATATGTATTTGGTGCCTCCTTGTACCAATATCCATGTGTTCAAATCATAACAATACTGTCAAATCATATAACTGAGTGTTTCGTAAACTCTCTGCTAACCTATCTTTAGTTAACATCTTGTGGTTTTTTGTTACGTTATTTTGAAATTTACAAAACCATATACGCAGTTCTTAAGTGTCGAATATTTCTAACAATGGTAGTGAAGGTTATATAATTTGTTTCTATTCTGTAGATAGGTATTTTAACCGTCCTATTAATCACTGATGCGGTAAACACATTACGTCTTAAGGGGAAATGGAATCCATCCAACAGATATTTGTTTTTGACAAAGTTTGGCTTTCAACGGACTCAAATTGATGAACTTGAGGCCACAAGGGGTTATATTTATGGGACAGTGAAGCTAGAAAACGTGTCAAATAGTGAGTTACACGATTTGTTAGTTGGTTCTTTTTGTATTTTTTGTATTGTTTTTTAAGAAAAGTATTTTCCATAATTATCGACAGTTCATATTTGTGCGAGGGCTGTGGTACTGCCCGGGTGCCCAGACCGAAGCAGGTGGTTCTCTTAGGGGGCCACACCCCGAGCCTTTGACCTAAAGCTCTAACCCACAAGGCAGTGGAGCATCGCGAGGAGATTTCCCATGGTAGCCGGTGACCAACGATTGGTTCATACGCCATTTGTTCCTTCAGGATACTGGAGCCCATGTTCACCATTGGTTTGGGATCCGGTTAAAGCGCCGGATATTCGCTTTTCGTCCTCTCATTTTCGTAAACAACACCCGCCACGAGAAGGCAGTGAGTATGACTTCCCTGGCAGAGACTGTATACGCGTGGCCGTGTGTAAGCATTACGAGAGGGAGAGAGGGCCCACCCCACCAGGGCATTTGGGGGCTGCAATGTGGAAGTGTCCGTAGGTATGGTATGTGCTTTGCACCTTCGAAGTGCAAAGTACTTCTACAAGACTGACAGGATTCTAATCCTGTACTCACCCTGGATGGTGAGCAGATAGAAGTAGTCGAGAAGTTCGTGTATCTGGGTAGCTGCATAAGTGCTGGTGGTGGTGTGAGCGATGAGATCAATGCACGTATAGTGAGAGCCAGAGCGGCTTATGCCAATCTGGGCCATCTTTGGCGCCTTCGTGATGTCAGTCTGGCTGTAAAAGGTCGGATCTACAACGCGTCGGTGAGAGCAGTTCTGCTCTATGCTTGTGAAACCTGGTCTCTCCGAGTTGAGGATGTTAGACGACTTTCTGTGTTCGATCATCGCTGTCTCCGAAGGATTGCTGACATCCAGTGGCAACACCATGTTAGTAATGCAGAGGTTCGGCA